TTAATTTGTTTCATTACTTCTGGTGGTGGTAGAGGTGGTGGTTGAAGACATCGAAGAATAACTCGTTGTTCAGCTGTTACTGGGAATCCAGTTGTTTCTTTGTGAATAACTTGTGGATTTGGGTCCCAAAAAACATCACGAGCTGATCTTTGTAGATATCGATTCGTTTCTTCTGCGCCATTAGTCCGAATCGGTGCATTATTAATAAAGCTACTAGTTGCTCCTATGGTGCCATATGAAGCATATTGATTACGACTATGATCTGTATCCTGATCATATCGACTAATCGCGTTATTAATGCAATCTCGTTCAATATTGTATGTTTCGCAAGTTGTAAAAGTTCCTTCTTCAGCACTAAAAAAGAAGATGATTTCAGATGAAACCGTTCAGGTTCAGTAGTATTTTGTGATATTCGGAACATGTCCGTACGCAGTCACGTAATATTTCAAGGACTTGGTAATACAAAAAAGGTTTCGCATTATGCTTGTCTGATTTTTAAAAATCATGAAAAGTTGAGTTATGGTTAGATTTCTAAAAAAGGGAAATTACTGAAATTTCCTTTTTCGAAAGTCTGAACACTACTGAGGTTTTCTAGGAAGCTGTCTGTTTTTAAGCAGAAGTTTGCGGATGATTTATTACATTGACTAGAAGGAGTAGCGTGCGAAATCCCTATTTTAGTGTTTCGTACAGGACCCGGCTTGTACGAAACCTTTTCTATTCAGTCAGGCTTTGATATCCAATTACGAAGCTCATCTTTATCGATTGTAAACATCTGTATATGTGTTCATGATTGGATCTAAATTCTTAAGTTTTACCTTCCATCTTGAATGGTAACAGCTTGTTGAACTATATCATCCATTGTTGTATCACGTGACCTTATTCGAAATTGACAAAGTAGAAATTAATTCTAAAAAAGAAAAAGAAAACAATGATCGTTAAGCTATATCTATCAAATAAATATCAAATGTTCAATCCAGAATGAGCAAGATTATGCATATCACATATATATAAATATCAAAAGAATTTTCGTTCAGATTATTTTTAAATTGTGGATAAAAAATTAGAAGTACTAATGAAGTAAAAATAATGTATTAATCGTTGTCGCTTCGTTCTTATAAATAGTTCATGAACCTTAGAGTATAACTGTAACAATACTGTAAGAAAGAAGAAGAAGAGTTCTTTGTCAAATTAAATAAACCAAGAGTATATTTCATAGTAATGTAAAACTTGAAACTAGAATTCAGTTGAAAATAGAAAGTTTCAACTTTCAATTCGTAGCGATATATGTTGTGAGTGCCGACTCTTCAGAATGCGCCTGGTTTAAAAGTTGAAAATTTTCAATTAAATTCAAGTTTCAAGTTCGGAAATCTTTTAAGGGATTCCAGAGATACCTCTTATTTTTATAAAGTGTAGCGATTTGGTCATAATCGCATTGATGTAAGGGTATAGATATAAGGATATCAGAGGCCTAAACGGGGTGGGTTTTTTCTGTCCCACCTCTCCGCGCCATGTCGCAACCTTAAATTCTTTTTCGTCAACCCGTCCCGATTTCCCGCGCTGTTTCGATCTCTGCAACATGTATGTGGCAGCTTCTATTCGTGGGAGCGAGTTATTCAATATATATGCTACGTGTGAATAGCTAACATTTAAATGTATATTGAAAATGGGCGTTTGCACGATCGATTTTGTTCACCCATGTTTGTTGACAATTGTGGTTCTTGATTATTCTCCAAAAATGTTTACTACTTTAAACCAAATATCGAACTTGCTTTTTAGGGTGTTAATGGGTTCGGAAGAATTTTAACGATTTTCAAGGTAAAATTTTGTCTTTAAGGATGTCTACCGTAGATAGATAGAAGTTGGGTGAAAGCTCGACGGCACATTCTGTGAAGGAGAAGTCAAGATTTGTCATTGTCGGCTTTCTTAACAACACTCCATACTCTCCCAAATTTTTTTCAGTTCGGCAGCAACTACGAAACGTCGGTAGATTGGTGGAACGAGAAATCTTGCGATATGAAAAACATGAAGCCATTCAAGTTCGATACGAAATAGTAAAGACTTGCATCAACCCCCGAAAGATTCGTCTCCAACTTCGATGGTTTCATATTCTTCAAATAGAATTTTTTTCCGTTCCACCTATCTTAAAACGTTTCAGTGCATGAGAAATCTCAGAGATAATATCATTTTGATTTTTCAAAAAATAAAATGTCACCTATCCGCAGATAGATAGATAGGTAGATAGATTGCTAGATAAATATGGTGATGATGTGGGTGTGGGTGTGGGTGAGCGTCGATGTGGACTTGGGTGTGGGTGGGGGCCGATTTGGGTGTCGGTGGAGGTCGATTTGGGTCTGGGTGTGGGTGGGTCCCGATGTGAGTGTCGTGTAGATGTGGATGCGAGTGTACGCGTAGCGCTTAATCAAAAAGTGATAGCGGTACCGTCACCTACACCCACCGCGTCGAGGCTTAGATAAAGGTGTGTGTAAAACCTTTGGTCACTTAACACCTGTGTCAGTACGATTTTTAGTCACGGTCTCGGAGCTTTTTGAAAACTAACGGCCGTCAGCCGTGATCCTGACCATCACCATGGGCATTACCGTGGCCACTTCGCATGTCCCTGCGATCTACCGGTTTACCCATTTACCTACCGATCTTTCTATCCATCTATATGCGGATAGGTGACACTGGTTGTTGGAAAATCCCTATGATATTATCACTGAGATATGTCACATGTATTGAAAAGTTTCGTAGCAAAGGCTGTGTGTGTATACTTTTAGATTTCGTAGTTGTTACGAAACTTTCGAAGACTTCGTAGAATATAACTTTTTTTGCGTATGCGCTACGACATGCAAACAATACGTGATATTGCAAACATTGTCGGACACTCATTCTATCTTTGAAAGTCCAATATCCCATCATAACAGATTGGAAGAGATGGAATTATTTTTCACTTGTTTCAGTATTACCTGATGTTGAGAAAGATGAAAAATCCATCAGATTGCACAACTAAACAGTGTTCTGTTGTAATGCACACTCACCTTGTTCGACTATATGCGGTTGCCGACCGCAACATTGAAACTTACTTGAATCTTTCTTGCAAAAACAAAACAAGCAATGCTCTCTCTTTCTTTCATGGCTTCGCTTCCATTACACGGGACTAGTTTCTCTCCCATTTTCTTCCTCTTCACGAGCAGTGGCATGTTTACTCAATTATAATAAGGAGCAATCCGCTCGAGTTGAGGTTTTTTTATTGTTTGATCTACTAGTGAAGAAAAGTAAGAAAATTAAAGAGATGTTGCACGAGAGAATCGATCAATCCGACCGCCGATAAAATGTTGACTTTCAATTGGGTGGGTGTGGGTGTGTATTCTGCCGGGCACTTCGTGTGTTATTTTATTGACATACACTCGAAATGATTGTTACTACCAAATCTACAATGCAAAGTTGAACAGCAAGACGCTTTTTACAATTGCGAATGCTTCAAGTGAGGCTAGATCTATCTCAAATTCTACTGAATGAAAGCTAAGATTTAAAAATTGCTCAAAATTTCTGAAAGTTTAGAGATATTTTGTGTTGATTGCCTGCTATAATTTCAGAGCTAGTAATTACAATATCATTTCACATGAAGGCGTGCAATTCTATTCTACTGTAGTTGATGTAATTGTCTTTGTTTACGAAGTTCAAACACCATATTGAGTGTAGACGTGTCGGTGGATGACGAGAAAACGTATCCACCCACAAGTCGATATTGAAAATTGAGCTTTTTATTTTAGTTAATTGGTTTCACTATGATATTATGAATGAAGGTTTCCTTATAGTGTCGCCGGATCTTCCGGATTTTCAAAGCTTTTTGCAGAGTTTTTTGGTTCTTTTTCAGGATTTTGACATTTAAATCACGAATTCAGGACACCCGCGACCGCTGCCGCGACACCCGTCTGTCTTTTCTCACAGCAGCTCTCTTAATTTTTGTATCTGTGCTCTTCAGTCTAATAATTACTTAAAATTTCCCGTGTTGTTATCAAACATTCGCTATATCGTTTTACTTAAATTCAAACTGTACCTTCAAAATTTATCGATGGCTTTGAATTGATTAGTGGTCGAATATATTTCGTATGAATTCCCGAATGAAATTCGTCGAGTTATTTTACAGCTTCGTTTTTCTGTCGAGTATAGGGTTTTTTGCGTGATGTTTACGTTCTCTCGTACTTTATTTTACGAATCACATTCAAGAATTTGAAAGGTTTCTGCTACCAAATGTTATAAAATAGGATGGTGTGGGTGTGGGTGTGGGTAAATCAATTAGAAAACAGATCAATCTATCTCTGAACGAAAAGGTAAATCAATTTGCTAGTCTCAACTCTTGCTTTTCAGTAACCAATCAAAGTCGAATAATTAATATATTTGTGCTTGAATTAAAAATAAAAATGCAGAATTTTATTTTGCCGACGCGTTTAATGTTTATTTATTATTAAAATATTGAAACACACTTCAGGGCTCTACATTTTAATTTAGCACAATAAAAATAGGATAAATATAGTTAAAAGAAAAATGAAACGTAAAACGAAAATGAAGAAACGAATAGAAAATTTTTAGAAAATTTTAAAGAGAAGAATGAATTATCATATGGATTAATATACACGAGGAGTGGCTGGTAATATATTCCATCGCTCGAGCTCTCTTTCTGAGGCGATCCGGTCGTGGATTATTTGCTCTATATGTTCTTATTGGCATTCGACCGTTGTTAATGGTGAATCCATCTTTACGATAGAGTTGAGTAAATTGGGTGAAATGGGCCACTTTTGTCTAGGAGTAAATGTTTTCTTGTCGTATGCATACGTTCATTTTATTTTTAATTTATTTTCTCTGTCCTTACTTATACCGTATGGATGTTTATATGTTGTCGTTCTGTTGTCTTTACTGATATTGTATCGACGTTTATATTTAAGAATCAACTAATTTTTTTATACGTCCAAAATTGTTTAAATGATATTATTAAATTTAATAAATTCTTTATAGTAAAATTAAATTTAAAACGAATTTTGAAGTAAAAAGTAGAACCAAATTCAATTATAATTAAGTTCAATTAAATTCAAGGGATAATTTTATATTCATAATTAAATTTAAAGGAATAAATATAATAACCATAATTCAAAGAATAAGTAATTTTATAATTTGAATCAATTCAATACTGATTCCATAATTTTATAACTATATTCAATTTTGAATTAAATTCAAAGGATAATTAGATATGATAATTCTATAACTAGATTCAATCTATACTTCACAATTAAATTGAATTTAAAGAATAAGTACGATGATTATACAATTCTAACCAAATCAATACTGATTTCATAACTGTATAATTAAACTGAAGCGAATATCAATTTTGCAGTTGAATTCAAATCAATACTAGTTTTGTAATTGAATTTAAAACTAACCATATATCAGACTTAAATTCAAATTTTAATTCAGTTCCATATTAAAGTCAGATTTTATCGAATTTCTAAACTAGTTCGATCAAGTGTTATTTATTTTGTATGGAATTTTCATTTCTAATTGACTTTTGTAGTCATATTTTTTGGTAGCTTAGAAATCATAAAGATATTTGAGTATAATTATTATTTCATCTATTCAGATAATCAACAATATTTTTCTTTTAATAATAATATAGGTATCAGCGTTTAGGCTTTGCATGTATTAACCGTCTTTGCAGATTATCGACATTTCGAGTACCAAGTATAGGGATAACTTCATTTATCGGAGATTTATCGAAGTATTTCTCCCATAAGGTATGGAATTTAATTGGAAATGTCTTCATACTTGAACAGTAAGTAAAATGAACGAATATTGACTTCTTATAATTTGCTAATAATTTTTCTTTTATAGGAGAATCTATGATCTTTTGACGAGATCTATTGAAATTGATTGAAGTTAATGGTTCGTTAAAACCAAATTTTACTAATACATTATTGAATTGTTCATCGATAATCTTATTTGGATATTTATTAAGTAATAAAGCCATTCTTAACTTTTCACGCTCATTTAGATATGACTCAAATGTTGAACAATATCTAATGTCACGTAAAAGCATGGCAAATGGGATATTCTTTTTCATATGTAATGGATGAATGCTATTAAATGGCAAGTAATATGGTTCGTAGGATGGTTTTTGGTAAACTGTTGTAAATAATTGACCATCTTGATTTTCTATACTTAAATCTAGGAAATTGACAATTGAACCAATATTTGCAGATAATTTAATATTTTCATCAAATTTATTCCATCTTTCGATTTGTTTGAGTAAATGCCGAACAGGCCAATTAATTGTAATAAATATATCATCAATATATCGGAAATAAAGTCCACCACTATTTCGAATTTGATTAACTATTCGTCTTTCAAAAAAGTACATATAACAATTAGAAATAGTTAGAGTAAGAGGAGAACCCATAGCTCCTTCTCTTATTTGATGATAAAATTGACCATTATAAGAAAAATAATTATTAGTCATAACAAATCGGCTCAATCTAATTATTGTTTCAACTTTTAATTTACCCACTTGTTTTAATTTTAGCTGGTCTAACATTTTCCTTAAAGATAATACTCCTTCTATTTGAGGTACCATTGTATAAAGGTCAGTAACATCAATTGTACAAAATATATCGTATTTTGTCTAAAATTATTTCTGGACCATTGTTGTAATTGTTTAAACAGCTAGTTACTAATAAAAGTATGGAATAGGCTGCTCATTACTATGCAGTACCTGTTATAATTTCGCCATTACGACATCGAAAATTGTTTCGATTACAGAAAGTCGCTCGCCCATTATTGATCCATACACATGCAGTTTCTCCATTGTCATTTTCTGGACAGTCTTCGTGACAATCACAGGTTTGATCACGTGTAACGCATATATCGGAGTTTCGATATCGAAAGCGATGTTCAGATTGGTCAGAATATTTTATTCGATAGAATTGCGGTTCATCAATCGATCCAACACAATTGATGACATCATTGCCCGCTTTTCCTTTGATAAACATGTTGGATGGCCAGCTTTAGTATCCAAGCAAAGGTGGCCCGTGCTGTTGCAGTGATGATAGCTGAGATCTTTACAGTCAAGAACTTCATCATCTCCATCTGAATATTCCCATAGGTTATTGCATGCAGAATATGTTGTCACACATGACCATTCATTCATAGGACAATCCTACTCGCCCGTATCATTGTTCATATCAGGGATCCATGAAAGGATGCCATCGCAGAGCACACCAAAGGTCATATTGAATCGAAGTGGTTCACGTCGAATAGCACGATATTCGTCCGAATCTGGGTCACGATACATTCAGAAAATTTTCATATGCTCATCTTCACCATCAACGCACTGTGCCTATACATGAAAACCCATTCTCAAATACCGTGAAATGGCAACGTTACTTGAATGTATCAGGACTACGATCCGCTAACAAGATATCGCCTTTTTTGTTAAGTAAAAATAGTTTAGCTATTGATTGGTCAGTACTCAGTCCACCAAATGTTTTCCCACTTTAGATTTTGAAAATACTGAAATAGCAATCTTAGTTGGTATTTCAATCGTACAAAGTGCTCTTTCGGTTTAGAAAACTGTCATAAGTTCGTTTCTGAAAACCTAGATATCGCTTACAATGACTTTCAAGGATCTCGAGATTTAACTTAAATAGACTGCATCAATCATAACTAGTCGAACAGTAATGTTTCCTTACATTTTTCGAATTTCATGAAGGTCATTAAGTCATCTTTTAGAAATTCAAACACGTCTTACTAGCAAACATCATTGCTCAATTCGTCATGATTGATTATTCTAATCTTGCTTGATTCTAGCATGTTCGCATTAGATGGCACAGCAGATTTGAAGACTCCTGATTACAATACTAAAAAAATGTTCATTAAAACAAGCAAATGACTTCTACTTGAAACAGTTCGCATGAAAATAAATTTCTTTGCCAAGTGGATGTCTAAGCAGTTAGAATAGGTCAAGTGACATTATCATGTCATCATTTCGAACATTCGAATTGAAAAGGATGTAGTTATTTAAACGCAGATTAATCAAATGTTGACCTATGCTTGATGGCCCATGATTCTCATCTGAATGCACAAAAGCGTCATCTTATTATTCGGTATTGTACTTACAATATTTAAGTAACATTGACTGTAAATTCATTTCAACAGTCCGATATCGGTGCATTAGCCATTTCAAATAGTGCTGACTTACTTTGGAATCAAAGGCTAGCCATACGGGAATGGATTGTTTTATATTGTCACATTTGAATCGGTCAAGAAGATTGAATGAACCTATGTTTTGTTGATGTTCGACTTCTCTGTTTATGCAGTCTTCACGATCATCCATTAGGCGATGATATGAAATATACTTACCTCCGTCACTGCATCGAAACAATGAACAGTTGTTTTTAACTCATCCCAACGTAGTAATGAGCTCGAACGAGTCGAACGTTTGATATCCTCTATCATATGGCTGAAACTATTGTATTTTTTATTAGAAAAGCTTCTAAATGCTCGGCATGTTGAATTGTCAATTATGCTTGTGGGCATTATCACGTTTTTGTTTGACAACGACGGACATAATGTTTCATTGCAACATATCCATTCTGACTTCGTATCATTGTAAATTAGATGTACATGTGAGAATAAGATGAGTGTCGAGAGTGGCATCTGTTGTAAGTAGAGGCAATCGCGATGAAAACGGCATGCTCGATGATGACCAAGACTTGGTGGTCCATCATAGCAAGTATTGTCATCAGATGAAAACATTAACGGTAGGCAGGAGTAATCTTCGCAAGGAAAATCTCTGGTACCCTAGTTACAAAGTGCAAGTGAATAGTATCCTATCTCGTCAGAAGAATCCATACAGTGACCTTTATAATCCGAATAAAATTCCTTATCCATACATTGCTCATTTCAAACTCATGACAGCTACGTTCGTCCAATCCGTTGGTGCAATCTATTTTACCTTTACAAAGAAAACATTCTCAAATGAAATAATTCATTTATCTATCAAGTTATCAAAAAATTTTGTTTTTTGCCTTCTAAATTACTCGATAAAAGATCTAAGCAGCGATTTTAGGTGACTTAGATATGTCTTTGTTTCTCGTGCACTTTTTGTTCATACATTGAAGGTTGATGGAGATATTGCCTAATCTTAAATACATTTCACAGTGTCCTTTCCAGATAAAATATTTTGTACAGTCTTTGAATTGCCTAAAGTTTGTTTCCTTGGAGAAACTCAAAGTCAAACTAGCATTTTTCTTCTATTTTGATTATCATGCCTGCATTTCATTTGCCACTAACCATCACCTATCGATTAGCTTACTGCCGTTTATAAGATTCAGCGTATCAACCATAAACAGAAGAAGACAACTAGATGCAGGATTGCACATTTCTATGGCTTTGCTATGCGCATATTTGTAGTAAATGTATCTAGGGATAAACACAAGCTTAGATTATTATACTCGCTTTTCTATTATTACAAAGAATAAGATGATTATATTAACGTTGACTTGAGAATTAGAGATCGATCATTCTTTACTTGCTAGTAATCATACTAATGAAATCGATCTCGAAACAACGCAGACTTTATCCATTCAATTCACTTGGCCAGAAACATACAGGATTAATTTTCATGAGTCTATTTTTGATTTCTTTATCCGGATATTCATCATCATAATATAGACTATTCACTATCACTGAAAGCGTCTCCGACTCGTGCCATGAAAGGTTTTCTTTTTATCAATGTTTTTGAGAAAGACAAGAGCTAATTCTCTTTCGATCAACGCCATAAAAACTAAACAGTTCGTCTGCTTTTGTCAACTGTCATGCTTATACATTGATTTCCTTGTTACCAGATCGATTTGAAAATTTTTATATCTACTACATATTATCTTGTTTTACAGTCAGTTACCAGCAACTATGTCGATCTTTTCATTCAACATATGTGCTCATGGTTTTATCGTCTCAAACAACAGCTCTTCAATAATCATATTCATTTCTTTTTTTCTTTTAGCATATGTATTTGATTCATGAAGAATCTTGAAAACCAAAGTTTGAACAATTATATATCGAAGTTTTTATGTAAGATTGACCTCAACATATCTATCTGACAAATATTGTTCAAGCTAGAAACACAATATGCATTTGAAAGAAGAGCGATCCGATTATCTTCTGTTACTGATTCATCTGCTTAGAGAAAACGATCGAAGGGATGTGCACTTGCCGTTCTCGATGAAGATTGGCATAATTGCTTATTGCGAAATTGCTCCTAGAAATCTGTTACAGTTTCTGGGTTTCTATGCGAAGAAACAGAAATGGAATTGTTCATATTAAAATCTGTGAGAGTGGTTTTTTTTCATATTGATATTCTGACATGAGATGATCTAAATTTTGCACTTCAATAGCTCATTTCATCACACATAGCAAAATAACGTGAACACACTGATCCTTATGATAACGCTTTATCAATTTTTTTGAATTTTCGTTCGTTTTATTCAGAAGATCTCAAGTTTATTGATAAAAAGCATAGGATTTTGTTGCCCGATTAGAAAAATTCCTTGAGAGTTTTAAGAATACCTTTAAACTGCTGACAATTTGAGCACTGAGATTCGTGTTCAAAACTTCTGACCTATCGACTCCAACTCAATAGATTCGTGAACTCGATGAGCTCTGCCTTAATGTTCAAAACTAATATATTCTTTTAACTTGCAATTATAAATTATTCAAGTCATGGAAAAATTGAGAAGAGGATGGTCCCCCTACCATCATATATCTCACGCCAATCCAGAAAAAGAATAGATTTGCATTCTCCATCATTCGCAACATAACATGTGCCGTTTGTAATCGTTAAGAGATTTTCAGGTACCTCGTACTTCTCTTTAAATCAGCCTAGCATAACATCAAACATTTGGTCGCTCGAGTCAAACGTATGCTGGCAACGTGTTCCGAACCAGAGATTGTTTTCGTCAGAACAATTTAAAAAAATCCTGCCGCATTGCCTAATTCGTATTCTTCGATGATATCTATTGATGCATACCCTTTGAGTAGGTGACCAGACGATATATCCATCAGACGTAATTGATCAAATGTAAATTGTTTACCGTTTAATGTTGTTGTGTGTTCGATAGATAGAGGATGTTCCATAGCTTTCATTGTTGATGAGCGACAATATCTAATCATTTCAAATAGAGAATACCATTGTACCGAAAAATCGTTCACATCTGTATTCCAATTTTGCAAACAATCAAAATCATACCCGGAACCGCTGGTTTCACGCATTAGACTAGAAGCACAGCACAAATCATGCTATTATATACTAGCTAGCAGTTATACTTTGAAAGATAACAGTAAAAAGTCATACATCCGATTAAAAATTAAAACGCCATGCGCAAAATTGCAATGGCATGATATATTAATTTGGTTTTGATAAAAAATATATCATGAAACTTCATTCCGTTTTGAGAATTCATTAAAAACATGTATTTTTTAAAAGCATTTTAAATTGTTAAGTACGTATTCAGGAGGATGATTACGACAACTATGAACGTCTGTTCTGTTATGATGAAATACATACCGATTAATGACCAGATCTCGTTATAAAGCATCGTAAATAGTATGAACATAATATGCCATATCATAATTACGATGAGACGCCTTTGATATGACTTAAAATAAATATGCACGTATGAATTTTATAACCGAATGCCATGTATTTTGAGTGTCGAAAAATGTTTTTAAATGACTCATCAACGACAATTCGTTTTTCTCTATGAAAATAATCTGATACAAAGGTGTAGATAATCAAAAAGTATTCTACCGTTTTATTCTATCAAAAGAGAATAACTTTGTAAGAAAAAGTCATAGTGATCGATCAATTTTTTATTGTTCAATTAACTTATGAACTATTATTTTTTAGCAACCAATCCAAACAAGCCATATGACGCTATCACAGGAACTACTCAATCGATGCTATTAGATCCGCTTTTATATCCTATAAAAAAAGCAGCACATTTTTGGAAAATTCTCTAGAGAGACTACGTGTTTCGCAACAAAAATGTTTTTTATGAAGAGTTCAGAGACGGGTTATAAGAAACCCAGGACAATCATTCCGACGGGAGGAACGGGCATCTTAAAAGGCCTGACACAACTGTAAAACGGTATAATAATGCATTCATTTTTACCTTATTTCACCGTAATCCGTTTGAATTCTATAAATATCTTGTATTTTCAATTTATGGACGCTGAGTATTTCTCGTATTACAGTCGAATACGAAGCAGTTTTCGAGAAACAACGTATTCGCATAAATTCTGATTAGTAATGATACTGCAAAATGATCCAAAAAGCGATTCCATCATATACGGAAGATTATGCACAAGAGGCTATATGATAATATTATTCATGAATATGTGATTAAATATTTTTCGATAGACGAGCATGTTCCAACTTCGTTGTGTCTTCTTTCTTATAGTAGTTCCATTTCTTTGTGTGCGACATCTAAACTTTAATTTCATTTCGTCTCCTAGGATGCGCTATTTAAACAAACGTCTTTTCAGCCCCTCCAATGAAATCTTTGCAAAAGAAATGCACTCCTTCAGCTTCCACGTGACAGTCGAATTTATTATTCCTTTAATCGCATTCAGACCACTTCGCAAGCATGAATAGCACGCTTATTTTTAATTCTTTTGCACAAATATTCATGACCAGTGGAATATTTCGATATTTGCGGTTGGTTTTAATTATTGTTATATCGGGTATATTATTTCAAATTTTAATGACTTTTTCTTATTCAAAATTGCAAAATGGCGTGACTGTTGCCTACTCAGATCCTCCTGTTCGAGGAATCATTGCCACATTGATTCGCAGTACTAATCATTCCATCTCTCTCACAATCAATATGATGCACTCTTTTCTCTATTTCCATCGAATCAATGGTAGTTATTCATATCCATTTCTCATATTTCATGATGAAAATTTCACTTCAATAATGCGTCAACAAATACTATCATGTGTACTAAGACGAAACAAACACATAAAGATTTCATTTGCTCCTGTTAGTTTTAACACGGAAGTCACAATAAATCCTGGCTCGCCTGTTCATAAACCAATTGGATATCGTTTAATGTGTCGATTTTGGACTTATGATGTATTTTATCATCCTGCAATCCTTCAAGGAAAATATGATTATATAATGAGAATGGACGATGATTCATACTTATCGGATGTAGTTGGCAGTGATATTTTTCTTCGTGTGAAGAATCAAAGACTAGATTATGCTTATCGAACTACGTATTGGGAAAACACGCCGGCGATGAATCCCATCGTGCAACGTTTCATCAATGGAACAGGCTTTCAACCTGGCTGTATTTATAATAATTTCTTTGTCATGCGTTTGAAATGGTTTTATGAATCGAAACGAATCCATAGTTTTATTCGAGAATTGATGCAAAATAATTTAATGCTTCGAGAATATATTGGTGATGGGTGTGTTCATGCGGTTATGCTACAGTTGGAGAATGGTGGGAAAATAGAACGTCTTAGTAACATCCCATACGGACATAATTTTCATCTACTGCCACCAGGACATCAACAAGCGACATACATGGGTGTCAATGCGTTTTATGACGAGATGAATCAATCATGTCATAAGTTTACTATACTTAGAGGTGATAAAGGCCAACTGATACGAATAAAATTATCCTAATAAGTGATATTTCTGAAAATAGTCCTCATTATTATTAACTTTCAGTGCTATTTTCTTCTTTCAACTAGTGTTTTTTTATGGCTGTTATTCTGGTTTATCATCTACCGGTTTGATTAAACGGTAATATTTCCTGCTCAAATTGTTGCATTTCTTAATTCAACGTCATTTGATAGCTCAATTTATCTTACAAACTTTATCTTGACAGAGAGTGATATCACATAATCAAATAGAAACGCTTGATTATATTTTTCGAAAGATTGTACTTTATTTTAAACGTCTAAAAAGAATATCATATGTAGTTTTAGTGTATTCCTAACATAATAAAAGAAATTTCCTAATAAAACTACGATCACATTTGTTAAACATTTTACGAACTAGTCAGTCACTTTCAGAAGACACTTTGATTAAACTCTCTACATCAATTGAAAATTAGGTACAGATCCTTTCACAGTTATCCAGTTAGGTGCAACGAAAAATTCGTAGAATTGATTCTACCTGAAGATAATATATGCCGTTGGAAAATAGAATTGTTTCGTTAACTTTGAAAAAGTATTCATTAGGATGTGAAACAGAGGTATCTATGATGTCGCCGCTACCGCCGTGGTGGCAAATATTTGAGGAAATGTTTGCTTTATTTTTCTTCGAATTAAAGCGAGTTCTTATGTTTGATGGGCACATAAGAATTTTTTACAAGTGAATGATACTGAGGTGCTAAAAGTATGAATATGAGCCCATCTGAATTACTTAATTACGTAGTAGTTATCTATTGTGTTCATTGACATATCACTTTCTTATTGTATATTAATCTTTTCAGAAGATCAGCTATAAACGTAGCACTAGTTCAGTTCCCAATTTTAACCATTTGTTTTTGCAGTTTGTTTGATTAATCAATGCGCTTTAGTTGTCTATCTGTTCAGTACTGTTATGATTTGTGCACATACATTAGGTGATCTATGTTAGTATTATATCTGGTTATCATTGCATATTCGATGTTAAAGAAATGAATGAATGAATTTTTTATTCAACTGCTGAGTAAAAACTTAGTTAATAAGTGTTTTACTGACTGCAACTGTAACAGTTCTAAAATTTACGGTTTTGTCATCAGTACAAAAAAACAGCTCCCAAAGAAGAAAATTATTTTGTGAATTAAAACTCAATTCAATTTAAAAAATCTCAATGGTGAACTTTAAGACAAAAACTTTCCAACGTAAAACTCTTTTTTAGACATGGTTTGAATCTAGCTTCGAAAATTTTTCTCATATAAATAAGAATTTCGAACTATCCTTCATCATCCGCAAGAATAAATTCGATTGGCTCTGTTCAAACATGGTAGATGAATTCTTCTATGCTCTGTAAGTTTTTTTTTATTTCTGCATTGATCAACCATACATATTATTTAACAAAACGACAGACAAAATAAGAGTATTTCTTTTCTCTCCTGTTTTGTTCTCTATAACATTTTCTTTTCATTTTATGTAGTTGAGAATTTAAAAAAAACATAAACGATACATCAAGCACATATTTTTCTTCAAAACAAACGGAGTCGCTTTTCACTCTTGTGCATTTGCACCACCTTTCACCATTATGAAATAAAATAAAATTTTCACACATCGTTAAAAAAATAAACGAGAGTAGGGTGTTTACACACATTCATATACCTGAATAGCATGGATCGTGATAGTGCTAATGCAACTCGTTTGAGAGTTAACCGTATTTCATTAATCCAACAGATTGATACTCGAGAACTCATACCGAAACTTATTCGTACTAATATTATATCTGCTGACCATGATGTACAATATATTAATCGAGGTACATCAAGAATTGATCGTGCACGCCGCTTAATTGATTGTCTTCTTGGAGAAGAAAATGAAAATGTGAATCGTCCAGTCAATTGGTATTTGCTATTTCGTAGCATTCTACTAGAAAACCCATCAGTCTATACTGATCTTGTAAGAGTGCTTGATACTACAAGAATTCAAACGCCGGATGTTAATAATTGTAAATCATCACAAGCATTTACTGATCAACCAAATAGTAGTCAATCAGATGAACACCAAGAAAGTAATAAGCAAGATTCATTTGATCAAACTGAAGAACAACAAATGAATAATTCAAAGAAAATAAATAATATTCAAAATCAAATAAAAAACATTCAATTTGATCGATATGCTATGAATAAAATTTTAATTGAAGGCAGTTTTCAAAAGGTTATTGACAACCTTACATTTAATTCACAGGTATGTAGTTTTGTTGTTGATTAGTCTATCAAAGTATAGTTATAACGTTATGAATTCTTAGTAAATTGGTTAGCACAAGTTTAGCATTTCTGTACTTTCTAGTTGTTTAAAGAGTTAGAGATTGGTTCAAAAAGAATTGAGTAGCTGAAGAAATTCTCTAACAAGATCCAACAGTCCGGAAAAGCAGAAATTTCTGAGAGAAAAACTTTATAAGATGTCTCACATATTTTTGTAAGTAAATGAAAATTTTCTATGATTTTTCCTTAAAGCACTACGTTCAATTTACAAATGGACTCAAGAAAAATTTTGCGCTTGTTTCTATAGATATTTTTCAAGGTCTTCTACTAACTCAAGGTAGTTGGATATTGTCCATCAAGATCATAGGCACTTTCTGCTACCCACAATGTTCTGACTTACAAAATCATATTAATCGTATATATATAACTGAATCTCTCTTTAAACTTTGTTAATTAAAAAATAACAATTTATATTAAGATTCCTGAGCGTTTATTTACTCAACTCAAGCATTCTACGAATGCTTATGATCGTGAACAACTTCTTAGTGAACAAAAGGTGTTTGATAATATGCGCCGAATTGAATTATTTATTAATTTAATGAAAGAAGAAAAATCTCTATCGAATCAGAATATTTTCGATACACAAGTAGTTGATTTACTTTTCAATGATCCTGTTCATCAACATCATTTTTATAAATATTTCTTTTCTCTATCACTCGTTTACGGTATTCATTATGATCAACAATTTACTCAAGCATTTAGAAATTTACTTGATAAGCAAAATAATGTATTAACAGCTATTGACAACGGATTTCTGCTATATCATTTTTTATATAACTATGGACGATTTGAATTATGTCAAGAAATCATTGAATCAATTGTCCAATCATTAACAAAATTAGTTAAAAATCATGACCAGAAATCAATTATATGGACGTATTTATTTCGTGGTTGCTGTGCACTTATACAAGCACACAATCAAAGTTTTCAAATTCAAGAAGCATGGACAAGAATTGAAGCAGCTAATGAAATTGCTGATAGCCTTAACGCAGCTGGCATAGGTAATCGAAAAACAATAAAAACATAAAAATTCGTATGTTTACTTTTGTTTCTAATAGAAATTGCTAATGATGAATATGGTTGGTTATACACTGCAATAACACAAACAGCTTATGAAGATGCAAATTTTGATGCTTGCATACAATATAGCTATAAGTAATTTTTTCTGTTCTCTATTATTTAAATTAATAATAGTATTGATTATTAGGGGTCTTAAATTAGTCGACAAAAATAATCATTCATTAATTGTTGATTTACTTTGTTCATTAACACAAGGTTTAACAGCAAAATGGGTTATGAATAAAGCACAAGAAACAGCTGTTATGGCTGTACAATATGCAGGGTATAGTTCTATTCATTGGATTTTATGTGTACATGTTCTCTTTTGTATTCGATGATAGGAAATATTGTGGTAGGAATAGTCCAAAATATATTCATGCACTTCAACAATTACTACAATATTCAAATGAATTTATTCAAGACCAAAGTTCTGTTGAATTAGCACAGGTATGATAGAATAGACATTGTAATAGCAATTTTCGCGATAAACTAATTAACAATTGGCAAGAGAAAAGTAGAATTGTTTCTGCTTTAAACAGTTATAGGACTTGGATATTATTAAGATATGTAAATAGTCATGAGCGTCTTTTTTGAATTTCTCTTCAAAACTATAAATGTCATATGGCAATCCTTTGCACATCTAAGGTTCGATGATTGACAACAAAACACAAAATTTTTAACATAAAAGTCAATCAACTTGAATAACAATTCTTCTGCTTATGTAATTTTCATGTGTATCGATTTAATCGAAGAAATATCTTACCGTCCAAAAAATCTGCTAACATGCTCTATTTGTGATTTTGGCAACAGAAAGATGAGAGACAAACAAATTTTCTTTGTGTTGCTATTATTCCAATATCGTCATGAATCCAATTAACGTTAAAATAACATTCAAAACTGTTTGAGGGCTTCATCGCTCATATAATGCACTTTCATTCTCATACTGTGTTACATGACAATAGATATTTACCTATCAGTCAATGAACACAGGCCTAGCTCATAGAAACGAACATTCAATAATCATAACATAAACAATACTCGATGAATTCTTATTCTCAGTTATTATGCACACGTTTTTAACAGATAATAGTTAGCTGATCATATCTTCTGTTTAAATTCTATACCTGCTCTGATTATTTGTAAAATTCAAATTTTTGTTTTTCTTAGAATAATAAATTACATATGAATTTTTAGTATACACTTGATCGTGCTCAAACTGTGTACGGATATGAATCATTGACTGTTGCTCATTGTCATCGAGCTTTATCGAAAAGTTTGATCAATTTTGCTTCGTTAACTCAGTCTCGCCGTAATATTAAATATCCCCTATTTGAAGAGGACATAATTTACTATCAAAATACATCGATTACAGATCTACCGCCATCATCATCTACATATATTCATCATGCTTACGAAGCATATCGTATGGCTCAAGATTGGTTTGGTGTTGACAGTCGTATACAATTATTTCCATTTAAGATGACTTTAGCTCATGCTTTACAAGCTCATGTTGCTGCTAATTTTTCTAATAAACAAAATACTCATTTTGAAGATGCTATAGAATTACTCAATGATTGTCTTTCGATTGCACGAAACATATTTGGTTCAATGAGTTTTAAAGTAGCTCAAATTCATCGACTTCAATCAGCAACATATCTCAGTAACAAAATGTTAATATACAACTTTAAAAAAAATTATCATTTTCTTTTATGAATTAATATCATGAATATGTTTAGGTATAATGAAGCTGAAGAAGAACTACAAACATGTTTACAAATCTATAAACTTTGCTTACCACCGAATAGTTTTCATTATCTTGTAACAAAAGCAAGTTTAGGTTTAATTTATAAACAAAAAGGAGATTATGAACAAGCGTTAATGTTATTTCAAGATATTTCTGAATCATTAGGTAATTGTTTTTTTCTTCTTAATTTATTATTCTTCAAATTCGTTCGATTGTGCCGTTTTCTTTGTATTAATTAGATACAAAAACTCAATCATTTCGTTGGATAAATATGGTCCTTGAAAGTCTGATTGAATGCCATTCTCATATTGAAGCTAGAACAAATGAAGATTCACCTCGAATAAAAAGTGCTGCAGATAAAGTTCGTTCAGAGCTATACGAATGGCGTCGTGCAAATATGAAACGTATTAATATATTGAATTTAATACATCAAGAGCCTACGCGTTCATTAGAACAATTTGTTCAAGATTTAACAAAATTTCAACAAACTACTGATCGTCTTCATACATTAATACATATACAACAGAAAGTGCCAACCCGCATAACACCAATTAAAATACATCAAGAAACTTGAACAGTTTTTCTTTTTCCTTGTTTTTATTATTACATTTATAAAAACAAAACAGAATGAGATCTTTTCACGTTTTTATTAAAGATTAAAAATATAAATAGAAAAAATGGAGTGTGGTTATTTTTTGTCAAAAATTATTATTTAAATATCAAGGATTGCTTCGTATTTTCCATCGTATGAACCTTGCCCAGTTAAGAATACTGAAATTGGTGGTTCACCAAGTAGACCTTCAATCAATAATTGACATTCGTACGTTTGATTATGTGAAGCCGTGAAATAAACTGATACGACTTGTTGAACTGATCTGTCCTTTGAATTTAATTGAGTTGTTAATATACCACATTTCGGTTCAATTCGAAATGCTTCATAAGCTTCAGGAATATTAGCTTGAACTAAAATAGAATGTTTCTTTTAGAAAAATTTGTTCACATCATTCAAATTCCTGATGAATTATATTCTATTTAGATTTTCATAATATGAATGAATTAGATTGTTGCTTTATTCCTTCATCTCCTGGATCAATCACTTTAGGTAGAATGATTTAGGATGTACCACTCTCGACATCATTATAACAAGAATGGTTGGTTTTATTAATAAATAATTGTGATCTCACAAAGTACTTATCGGTAAATATTAATAATACTAAATTTTCTTTTCCTATGGTTATCTTGAAAGACAATTCAAAATACTGCGATAAATTATATCGTGAAATCTCTTATTTAGAAGCAACAGCTCTCTTAATTAGAGAGGTATATATATCTTGAATACAACACTAAGGATAACGAAATTACCTTTTCGTATTGACCATGCGGACGATGAACAAGTTAAATTCTTCAGAATAAATTCCTTTTGTCTTGCTTGCTCAAGAAAACATGTTCCGAAATCAATTCGATCGCAACTAACACTTAATATTGGAAAGTATAGTTTTATATCAATTGGTATAATTTGTTCCATTTCATTTTGTTTAAATTTAACAGACAATTGCTCACGCCAATGTATTCGACGTCCATGTTCAACTGTTATTGTTTCGTCAATTTTCGATAATAAAGATTCGTTTCTATTTAAATTTGCGGGACGAAAACGATCAATAAATTCGGTGGACAAACGAAAATGACATTCTACATTAACTTTTGATTGTGACGTTAAACTTGTTGTTACGGATGGTTCAAACGAAAGAAATGAGGAATCTGATATAGCAAGTTCAAATGGTATTGTACATTGTCGTGTATTTAATAAATTTAATGTACGCGAATAGGTTATTTCATGACGATTTCGATTTGATAATGTTGATTTTGCTGATACGGCTCTTGATGAAGATTTCGTTGATGATGGTAACGTGCAATTGTATAGATTAGGTTGACATGATAATATATCGCCTAATAATAAAAAGAATCAAATAAATTTAGAACAATTTAATCGCTCCTTATTTTTCTGTCGAAGATATTTACTTACCAGCTGGAATAGCAAATGAGACTGCATCGGGTTCATCGCCATTACAATCATCGTCATTCAATTCGATACGTAATGATGGCATTTCAAGTGATGCATGCATATCAAATTGAATTTGTTCTTCATGTTCATAATATATAGGTCGATAGAAGCCTTGACTTTGTGAACCTTGTCTCTATAAATTGAAATATTAAGAAAGTGATGATGAGAAAAAAATCTTTTGTTCCACCTCTTCTGATACACTTAATACACCGATTATTCGTGCATTACATTTCAAGGGATAATCTTTTACTGAACAATTGCGTGGTGTTATAGTTATATCAAGATAAAAATGTTCTCTTGGTTTAACAATCTAATTAGAAATAGAAATAGATGATATATCAATATGAATATAAAAATAGCTGCTTTACTTTTTTTAACGATGCAATAGAATAGATAGGATTTATTCTGGAAGTTCGTTTGCCTTGATAAGGCTTGACATAAAGTCTAATTAATGGTGTTGGTTTATCATCCATGATGCTGACTGATGAATGAGCTAATAACGCTGAATTTCCTCTTGATGTCGTTTCTATAAAATGTATTGGAATAATTTTTTGTTGTTAAATTACTTCAAAGTATGTCTATGTATAATCATCTATTGCATCTTTGAATTAGGCTATGAATTCATTCTAAGTATTATTATTTTGTTACATGGCTGCATTCTAATTTAAGATTTTGCTAGGTAAGTTTGTCTCTTAGATGAGTACACTATAGGATAAATTCAAAGTTTCTATAACTAAGTTCAAATCATGTGACTGATTTGTACGAAAAACAGAAAATTTTTCTTTTAATCAATCCGTCGCGCACGAACTTAACTTCTTCATCTTCGAAAATAGATTAAAAAGGCAAAACTTATTTTTTCAAAATTTTCTATTCTTACTCGATGACATGGCTGTTTGAGATATTATTTCTTCGTTACGCTCCACAATAGTTGTATCACTTAGAAAACTATCAAATGGATTATTATCAATAACTGGTATAAGTTCAACAAGTTTAGAACTTTCTGTTGTATCTTCTTTAACATCATAAACAACCCAATCAATACGTATTGGTATATGTGAAATATTTTGCATATGAACTTTTTTTGTTATTGGCAATGAATTATGTAACATTGAACCGAATTGTAGAACAGGTAATGATGAAGCTTTGTCGCTTTTACTTGTACTTAAATATGTTTTTATTGGATTACCAGTTATATGAACTCGAATAGGAATTTCTTTTATTGAGTCCATCCCTTCAATCTAGTCATCAAAAACAAAATTTAACAAAACAAAAACCATTTTCAAATAATTACTTGAAGCTGCAAAGTATCAGTATAGTCTCCCCACATAGAGCTCGTAACTGACAATGGAATAATCGTTGTTTCACGAGGAGGCAATGCATAGGCAGTTGTCTCTGAGTTTTCCAAATGGAAACCAACACCAATTTCTTGTTCAGTAGGTTCAAAATTTTGTGTTTCTAAAAATAGATACATTCGATAAAAACGTTTCAAAAGGACATTTTAATGATTATTTCTTACTACGCCCGTTTGCAACTGACAATGGCTAAACAAGAAGATCAATAATGCTCAGTTATCAAAAATATATTGATATTTTCTTACTCGTGTTTTAAATTTCGCTATTTTCGCTTTGACTCCACTTTCTATATCGGTTAAATTAGTGATTGATAATTGTAAAGATGCTTTTTCTCCTAATTGAACGCGATTAAAATCAAGTGTAAACTGATCACCATATTGATAAGTACTAAATATAGAATACAGATGAACTTTCTTTTGCAAAAACAAAAATATCAAATGATGGATGTACTTTTCTTCATATAGAAATGCTACATTCATTCCTTTCATTATAGAACTTAATTTAAGAAAAATTGGTTGTGATGCATTCTGTATGTAACATGGAATATTCCAATCGTCATTCAATGTTCCACATTGTTGAGCAATAAACATTATTTGAACCATGCATGGTTTACCTTGATAAAGAATTCCTTCTCGAGGATGTATTTCAACTAAACATTGATCTTTATGAGCACATGCTGCCTGTAAAAAGTAAAGAAAAATTTTTCGTACTTTTCCTGGAAAATATTTCTTACTTCGCCCCATTGAAAATATGTGGGTAATCCATTTATGGCTTTTAATTCAACTTGCCGAATGATTGGAACATGAAGAAAGGATTCACCGATATCAAGTTCAACTGGTGAAATATAAGCACTTGGCCGTTGAATAATTGCTGTTATTTCAATTGGTCTTCAAGATAATAAGAAAGTGACTTTAAAAAAGAATGAAAAAAGCAATTTTACATAGTTTTCCCATCTTCAACAATCACTTCCAAGTGTTCTAATAATGCGCCTTCTTCATCGGCAAATAAACAAATAGACATTTCATATACTTCAATAGGTTTAAGTAGTATTTCGCTCCCATTTGGTAAAGATATTAGTGGTTTAGATTGGTTCTAAACAAATCAAAAATATAATATCGATGAGTGTAGATTCTTATTATATTTCTGTAAAATTAATAACACCGATGTCACAGCAGTATACGTCAAAATAGATAGAATAATACGATCTGCCTGCCATTAGCACGAGCAATCAGATGATCTTTTAAATTTAAATTTTCCAATAATTAAACTGATATATTATTATCTTTGTTTGACGAAGCTTTTCTCTAGATTGTAATGAAACAGATATTAAAAATATTACATAATATCATCATTTTGAACTGGGATTCATACATAAGAAAGTCACAAAGCACGAAAAGATATTATTTGATTAGCATCAACGAAGCTTTGACTTTCATTTCGATCGAAATTTTTTCTCTGATTCTATCGCTTATTGCTAATTTTACTTTAAGAACTATTTATATTTTATCTTGTATTCAAAACATGTTTTAATAAAGGAACCCATCATGTTTCTCATTGTATCAAACTAAATATTGGTATCATACTTTGTTTACTTCTTGCACATGACATTTGGCAATAATTGGGCTTAAGTTTTTTATTTTAACCAGTTTTTGAACTTTTTCTCCGTATTCAACTAAACCAAAATCAATTGTAGCTGAATTAGTTTCAATATCAGGACCCTAGAATAGTAAATGCAACAGTTTAGATTTATTCAATACAAGCTCGAAATTCCCTACTATAATTTCTGCTTCAACATGCAAATATCCATAATCTTCCATACCATCGAGTTTAAATGGTAATTCAACTTTTGCTTGACCTATTTTTGTTCCAGTTAAGATCAATGTGAATTGACAAGTAGCATCAGAAGCTAAATGAATGAATATACTGTTTTTTGTGCTGTGCACAGTTAAAGGAAATTTCAACACATACGAATTTCTGCAACAACAGGTTCAACATTAATGATTTGTTCACCGATCATATTTGCCCAGTTAACCATCAGCGGACTGATACTTGTATTAGTTAACTGTGAAATTAAATATAGATGAGATTTCAATAGTTTGTTTAACAATAAGTTCTATATAATTACTTGAAACTCTTTTCTGTATGCTAAATTTTTATAAAGTTTATCCATGAATATAATGGCAAACGGATCAAATACATATTTAAAAGTTTCGCAAATACCACGCGCTTCAAATCGTAACACTATTGAAAATAAATAATATTGGCAATTTATTTATTTCTTGTAATCGAAATTTACCTGTATAATCAGCGATTTGAATAGTTGTTGATGGCATTGTGGAAATTCTTGCAGCATTACGAGGCAATAGATCTGGTGAAGGAGCTCGTTCATTAGCTAAGTGACTTATGGCACCAGTAAGTTGTGCACTTGGTGATGGTGTTGGATACGATGGAGCATTGGGAACAATCAAATGGAAAACTGTATGAAAACTGCCGACCTTATTATTTCGCAAAAAAAAGTTAGTGATAGTTTTACTAGAATTGAATAAAAGAAAATATATATTGAATTACTTGTGATGGTGCAAAAATAAGACGAAAGTCTACAGTTGCTAATGGAGGAAACGTTCCTCGATTGGGTTCAACATGAAATTGTGATGCTTCACAAACGATTCTTTCAATTTCAATTGGTTGAGTTTGTTTTGAAAAATCTTCACGTGTATAAAGTACTGGCTCGAGTAATGCCCATATAAATGGTAATTCAACATTTCTATTTGAAAAATCAAATAATTACTAGTCAATTACTTCAAACGATAGAGCTTATATGAATATGAACCCTGCAAGTCACAATAGCTTATATGGCATAGTATTTATTTATGAATAGTGAACTGATTTTCGGCGTAAAGATTACCTAATTTTGCATTATTAAAAAATTCATCATAGACAAGTACTGATCGTGCTCTTGTTTCATAATGAAGAACACTGACTTTTATGGGATGCACTTAAAATGAGTATTAAAAAGGCAATATTTTTTTCTCGTACTGAAGTTCATGAAACCTTGTTTTTCAGGGCTTCTAAAATTTCTCTAATAACATCGAACATGTTTCATGACTTGCTTTACTAGTCAAAAACTGATGGCAAATTCTATTCGTTACAATAAGTCTTAAGTCTTACACATTCGCTCTGGGCTGATTACTTTAGATAGAAGGCATAACTAACGGAGGTCTAATTTATACACGATGCTCGAATTCAACTTTGTTCGATGATTAATTTAATTGTCTATTTACGTTAAATTTTTAATTGTCATCTTCTTTTGACAATAAGAGAATGGATTTATTGAAATAAAATTGATTGAATATTGTGCTGAAATATCACGTATTTCGAGTTCATTTAAATCGACGACACCGCCTTCAATATCTTCAAGACGAACTTGAATTGTTTGGGCAACACCTAAGGATATTTTATATTTTTTGATTAAAAGTAATCATATGTATAAAATAGCAAAACCTTTGAGTTTATATCGTAAAACTTCACCATTGTCACAAATCATACTAAATTCTTCAATAAATTCACCAGGTATTTGAGGATTAAATGAAACATGTAATGAAAACGTATCTCCAGGACGAAGGTCAAGTGTTGGAGGAGCTATTTCAAATGGAGGTAAATGAATAGTTTCACTACGAGCTACAGTCTAATTCATATAAAAAATTATATAATTATTAATTTAACAAAAAGAACTCTTTAATTTTTTTATACCTTAAAATTGATTGCTGGCCACGATGAAGCTGGAACAATAGCAAATCGTCCTTCACCACCATCATTACGTACTTTAAATTCGCACATTTTACGTCCACCAACAAGCCAATATCCACAATCAACCAATGATGAAACTGAAAACAATAGAAATTAGTATTTTCTTCTCAAATGAAGATAATAGTTTGTGTTCTATAAAAAAAAAAACACAATACTAAAATATTCAATAGCAACAAAAAACATATTCTAGATCTCTTAGAAATAAAATTCAGTCTTTAAAAGATTTTCATGACAATATAAACCGTAATTATTTACGTGTAAGTACTGGCGGTGGTCTTTTGGCTAATAATTTAACTGCAAATTCAGTTCCATTTGAGCATTGTACAATAATTTCATCTTGAAAAACACCTAATGTATCCGGTGAAAATTTAATATTATATATAACACTTAATCCAGTAGCCACAAGTGAATGACCGGATGGATATTGAGGAAGACTAACACAAAAATACGGTGTTTTTGGTGGAACGATTCGACAACTATGTGCGACACTACTCAAATTTCGTAAACATAATGTTGTTTCATGAACATCACCAACTCGATATTGAGTAAAAACAATTTCAGATGGAAGAGCTTCGAATACGGGTAATAGAGGCGGAGGTCTAAAGTATAGTAGGAGAATTGTTGAGCTTTTCTTCAAAATATTCTGAATTACTTATTGATAGGTCCTGTCGTAATAAGATGATGTTGTCGATTTTCATCAAATCGTGGATTTGTTGAATAATTTGTTAAATTGTCCATCATTTTTAAACGAGCCCGATTGTAATCTCTTTCTGGTACGCTTATTTGATCTTTCCATAGAGTATTTAAAGCTTTCTTTTTATTTGGCTGCGTAAGTTTAGGCTAAAGAGAAAATAAGAAGACACCATTAGAATCACAGCTACATTCTTTAATCAAAAACAGCTTAAGTTCTAATTAATTAAAAAAGTGACATACGTTTCATGAACTATATGTTCTGTATCTAGTTTGAAGCTCATCATGGAAACTTTCTCATTTGTGTACCAGAGATATGCAGAGTTTTTGTAAATGCTAACGTTTATCAGTACATTGAAAGTCTTTCCATGCGCTAACATTCTCCTATTAACTTTACACGACATCTGTTTTATTTAAATTTCTTCACAGCGAGTAGCTATGAGACTCATGCGAGTTAAAACATCGAATAAAAATTGAAATATTTTACCAATTTTTTCTCGTCATCAGATCCTTGTTTGATACTCTCTGTAGCTTCTTTTGATTTTGATTCTTCTTTAGCTAAATGGAACATTAAGTTTTTTTTTTTCTATTTGAGATTTTTATTTTTCAATACTTACATGATTGTTTAATATATCGTTGAAGATTATAATTAAGAAAATCTCTTGGAAGTATGACTTGATCTCTTGTCAATGCATGTTCATCGACATACAAACTTGTTAGATGAGTTTCTATGAGTAGAAATGCTTGAGAAATTTTTGTTTTTCATAGAATTTTTCTTCTTACTTTCTTCAGCAACTTCTTTATCATATGCTTGAAATTGAGCTAATAAAAAGCTTTGTTCATCATGTCCAATTTTTTGTAATTGATATTCTCGTTTAGCTTGAATTTCACGTAAATGTTGAACATATAAACGATGTGTTATATCATCAACATTGCCTGATACAACTAATTTTTTAACAGTTTCTGGACGCATTGGTGTTTTGAGAAAATTTTCTCTAAAATTACAAGATATGACAGGTGAATTTCTACTGAAATATTAATTTACCCAAGCTCTCTTGAGACAACATGTGAAACAGTAGCAGTCAATGGATTATGAGGTATTTCCGGTAGGGTATGTCGCTCGAGCATACTTGGATTTCGTTGTGAACCACTTGCATTTGTATTTGGCCGAACATGAGTGGAAGATGCTCTAGATTGCTGTTGTTGTGAATAGTTAGTGTTAAATGGAGATGATGAATCATTTTTATGATCGGGACTAGTTGATGAGACTATGGCTGTTTCGCCTTCCATTTTAAATACTTAGTGGTTTACAAAATGTTATAGGGACTTGATTACCATTCAAGATGTCATTACCATGGATGTTAACTCGACAAAGAGGTTGTTTGTTTTTACTTGGAAAAAATTGAAAAAAATTTTGAAAATTAACTAGCATTTATTTTTATTCTTGCATAAAATAATCGTTTTTTTTTTTAAACAAGATGTCGCTAGTTTGCAACAATATTTGTACGATTCCTTATCGAAATATGAAAACTAGGAAAAAAGGTGTCGAGCGAAACTATTTCGATCGAATGCAGTTTATACAGCCTATTTTTTAGTCACTCTGAGCTGTTTTCAAGATGAAATGATATAGAAACAAGTTCATCGGTGCAAACAGTGTCTTGTTTTTATCACGATAATCATATTTTCTAGGTACTATAGAGTATAGATCTGTGCATTTCTGTTTATTAATACTATGAACTTAAGTTTTGCATAAATATTTCAATGGCTTCTTCTATGAAAAAAGAAAAAAAATTAGCAATCATGTTGATACAGCATTGTTTTTCTTTTAAATTGAAAAATATTTTTAAATACTTTATTGCCGTTCCGTATACTTTACACCACTTCAATATATGATGCGTTACTACTTTTACGGCGAATCGAAGGAAAACGTTTGATGGTTGTATAAGAATTTCCATGCACTACGTGATACGTGACTGTGCGATAGATATTAACCAAACCAACTATAATAGATCTACTTCATATGCTGCTAGATAACTCAAATGTTCAATAGCATCGATCCATACATACATGCTTCCAAGTTTATTTTAAAAATATATATAAACATGCTAGTGAACGGCAATCTGAGCTATAAGTTACAAAATGTGGTTTTCTTGTTTTAGATAATTATATTTCTTTTTATTCATAGAAACCATCGTCCATTAATCGCTTTCGATAGTCGTTGATGAATGCTTCCTCGTCATCTAATAACAAATCAAGATGATCATTCGGATCTGGTCCTGTCTCATTATTAATATCTTCCGTCGTTTGATTATTACGTAATAAATCAGGTACAATCGCTGCTAGTGCGGCACGACGATGTTCAGCAGCTGCAGCTTCTTCATCTAATTTTACCTTTTTAGCATCTAGAAAAAAAAGACACAAAACTCCTTTAAAAAGACTCCACGCTGATATTATTACTTCGTTTTTCAACAGCTTTTCTTGCTCTTTCAAATATATCTGTGATTCGATCAGGTTCTGAATTTGTTGTAATTGAATCTTTATATCTCTGTAATAATTCTTCTGCAGCACGATCTAATCGATTCCCATGAATCTCTAGTAAAGCACGTGCTTCTTCAAGTTCTGCTCCTAATGCTACCAACTGAGGAATATGTGTTGCATCTTCCATCAATACACTTTCTTGGTAAGCAGCGCCATCATCATCATCATCATGTCTTGAAAGTCGACCAGCAGTGATCAGAGTATCGATATTGGTTAGCAACATTTCACTGGCTTGTTCTAGACGATTATTTGACTGTTTTAATGCTTCGGCGCAAGCTCGACGAAGATATCCCATTGATTCAAGTTGACGTAAATACGTTACATTAATTCTAGATAATAGAAAGATAGAAAACTAAGTAAGAAAAATATTTCAATACTTTTCTCCATTTTGAGTACGTCCATAACGATTTTGTAAACGTTCATCTTCTTCTCGAGCTTGTTCATCACGACGATGTTCTTCTCGAATTCGTCGATTCTAAAATTGAAATCATAGTTTTCCTAAACAGAATCCTATCTATTACTTCGATGATAAATTCAATCGCTTGATCAATATTTCCTTGTGCACTTCTTAAACCTCGTCGAGCTTCTGTTGTTGTATAACCCATTAGCATAACTATATCAATCTTAAGCTTACATTGAAAAGAACTCAAACAGAAAACTAACTTTGAGTTAATTTTTCTGGTTCAATACGCATCATTCGTGCTTCTTCTTCAGCCATGCCAAGTAAATTTTTTGCATCAGTCTTACGACCAGCATGATAGGCAACAATAGCCTATTAAACAAGATCTTTATTTGGACAAATAAATTTCTAATTTTTATTTACTTGTAATAGATGTAATCGAACAAACAGTACCATATGACCCATCCCATCTTTTTGTAACGCCTTCAAACGTTGAAATGAATTTCCATAAACTTTAACAAAGCATGTATCACATCTCACCAATCGTTCAACAGCATCTGAAAAAAATAATAATCTATTCCTAAAACAGCAAAATAATATATTGTATTTACCTTGCAAATCATTAACATTTTGCATACAAAGATAACACCATACTATATCTAAATTGAGTAGACCCCTATTTTATATAAATAAAGATCTATCGAATTAGTTAATTTTGTATATTTTACAATACCAATTATCAACAGAATTTAACATTTGCGATGAACATTGTCGAAATTCGTTATCAGCTTCACTGAACAACGATAATGCACTTAAATAGTCACGTTGTCGAAGAAATGAACGACCTTTCTCATGTAATGTCATTGCTACCATTAATGAACGTCGTTCATCATCGGATAAGGCTGTTAATTCACGTCCTTGTTGATCAGTTATACGTAATTGATATTGACTTAAATTCGATTTATTGCGTGCATTTTCATGTAGAATAGATGTTGCTTCTTTGATAGCTTGAATTAAATTTGAAGTTTGAATATCAGCAGATGCTGATGCGACGGCTGATTTCGGTACAGCAAGTACCAGAATAGTTGCATTTGTCTGGAGAATAATTACAAGATTAAATAAAATAACATAAAAAGAACTTTTTATCTACATGAACGTTCTGTGTTTGTAATAGTTCATTGAGTTGAATCATTCGACCGGAACAAATCATTTTGATATTTTGATCAAGTAAATTTAATTTTTCTTGAATTAATTTTTCTAATTCATGGCCAGAACTTTGAGAGGATATGCTAACATTTATACAACTATTCTACATAGACAAATTCAAAGTTTTCTATACAAGTTTTTTTTCTTTTCTCGATGTAATTACTTTATTATTCGAAACACCGGATGAACGAACTTTAAGTGTTAACAAATCAGTACGCTTTTTAGCAGCTAGTTTTTCCAATGCGTGCCGACGAAGATACGATAGAGCAAGACGAATTTCTTCCGTTGTACTACCAACTTCAGCACAAACACTTTCGACTAATTCCTAACTTATGGAATTGTATATAAAAGAAAACAATGCTATTATGCATACCTCTGGAAAATTTTCAGTGCCAGTATCAGGATTTGTATAAGGCGGTTCCCAAAGACGAATTTTATCTCGCTGAAGAAGAGGTCGAACATTATCAAGTAGTTCTTTATTATTGAACTCTTCCATCGTTGTTGTTGTTGAAGGTGGACTAGTCATAGGAGAAAAAGAAGATTTTCTCTTCAGAATATATCTTTGTACCGTAAAGAAACTTTATGATGAATAATTATTAAGAAAATTTTATTAAATTACGCGAATACATGTAAGCACATACATCATGCGTCATTTCCTGAGCGAGCGTATGACAGATGCGAAGATCCAATTGGTTACTGGCGCACTTTTTTCTCTCGACAAAGTCGGACATCTATTATCGTTTGCTGACAACGTAACATGGCTTATTCTGAAACCCACAAATAACATTGCTCTTAGTTCTGTCAACTATTTAATAGTAGCTAAATAAAACTGTGTGAGGCGAATTATCGATATAATATCTTCAGTTCATTATCAGCATGGTTTTCGTGGAGAGATTTTTAGTGTTATTATTTGTGTAAACTTGATTTTCTACGAGTAATTTATTATTTTGTACTCGGAAGACGATGACGATTTCAATATTCATCTAAACAAGATCACTCATTTATTCTTGAACTCATGATGATGATGAATCTCCACAGGTTAACATCAGTATCAACAAGATAACGATCAACAACAACATACGTTGATGCATTGATTCTCAGTTGTTGGTCGATTCCAGACTAGATAAAAGTTATCTTTGTTTGTTAAGCTCAAATTGATCTATTGAAAATAGGACATTCGAAGGGCTAACATAATTGATACCAGCAGAGTTCATATTAGTCTTTCAAACTTGTGTACAATCAGCATTGGATTATATTTAATGCCTTATTATTCGATATAGGTAGTGATCTTGTTTTTCAATGAATACTTTTATCGAAAGATATTTGATTGTATCATGAAGCGTCATTTTCTCTCCCACGACGTATTTCTAAGTTTGTTGTTACAATCGTAAAAATGTTCAGAAAACTTTATAAATTAATTTATTTATTGTCAATGACTTTCTATTGATCATAATTATAAAATGGAAAAATCTATTTTTTTTTGCTCAGCAAAGACTTTATCGAATGATTCTTTGGATTTTTTCGTATGCAAAATAAAAATGATTTTTTTGTTTGACAACATGTTTTGTTTCATTGAATACTATCTGTACAATACTAATATATGTATATCATAAAATAAACAAAAAAGTAAAGTAGAAGCGTATACACTTTTGTCATTTACGTTTCCAAATAAATATGCGACTATCATCGGAACAGGCAACCAATATTGAGCCATCATAATTGAATGATACACGACTTATTTTTGCTTTTGAATTCATATTTTTCAATTTTACAAAGCTTAACAAAAAGAACATATTTTGTAACTTTAAAATTTAAAATTTAAACATACTCGACGGCTGGATTATGCATATGATGACGAAGATCCCATACTTGTATTTGACCATCTAATGTCCCAATGGCAAGCAACTATTACAAGGAAAAAATAATGACAATCAAACTTTTTCCTATCGTAACCTACTTGACTAGCACGACAAATATCAAGTTTTAAAAACCAAATATATTCCTTTTCATGTACAATCCATTTCAGAAGTAATTTAAATGATGATGCTTTTGTTGTACTACCAAGAATAGGTTGCCATAAACAGAAAGTATTATCGGCAGACTAATAAAAAAAAAATTGGTATCAAATAAATGAATCATTTATATGTATGCAACTAATCACTCACTCGAGAAATCAATGCATCACCATACCATTGTACATTATCAACATAATGTGAGTGAAGTGTTTTAGCTTTCGCTTCAATATCTGGAAAAGCTACAGCATATGCTTTTATTAATCGACGCTGTTGTTCATGCATTGGATTTTCAGCTAAATCAATTTGTTCTCGAACTTTTTCACTTGTTAATGACCATACAAATACGGAGCGATCCATACTAGCTGAAGCAAGCATCGTGCATTTATCATTTATATCCTTGAATTAAAACATTAGAAAAGATTTTAGTTTTTTTCTTTCATATCACACTGTATATATATATATATATGCATTTTACCACACAGAGCACTTGATCTGTATGACCATTGGGCCCATGAAATACAACAAGACACATTGATGAAAGAACATCCCAGAGTGTGACCGTAAAATCTACAAAAAAAAAGAAAGCAAAGATAATCCGATTAGATAAACAAGAATGAGTACATTTTTTTTTCTCTTACTTTTACTGGCTGTACATAACAGATTGGGTTTAGCTTTAGCGAATGTCAAATGATTGATAGCGCCGGTTTGTAAAAGCTAAAAAATACAATATAGAATAAGTTTGTTTGATCTTATGAGTTGCTATCTTACTGCAGTATGTTGTGATTTACGATTAATATCAAGAATACGAATAACACCGCGTTCTCCACCGGCCGCTAATAAAACTTTGGGTGAATTTTCAGTTTTATCATCAATTGTTGTCCAGGCACATGCAAAATATTCTTCATTTGCCTACGTTACATACAAAATAGTTTTGCTTTTCTTGTTGACCGTTTAATAAGCTTACATCTGGATCAAGATATGCATGAACTAATTGAGTTTTATTTGTATTCGTATCAAATTTATATACTTGAATCTATTTAAAAAAATGCAAAATATAGAAAAACAGTTTTTGTACAAACTAATCATACATACAGAATTTGCACCAACACTAGCAAATAGAATTCCATCTGGATATTGTACTTGATTATTTATTTCTACTGCATAGATTTGTTGTCGATGATTTTCCTATGTTTTAGACGAAGCAAAAAAATGTTAATTCCGTACTACACATCAGGACTGCCACGTTTGTACTTTGATAATTTGTATGCATGAATAAGCTGTACGCGTTTTTGCCGATGAACGAACTTCTTCTTCGCCGTTACTTTCATCACTCCGACCATCTACATTTGCATCCAATGAGATTACCTAATTTTGACATTGAAAATTTTAACGAAATGAATTCTATATAGATAAATCAAATTGAATAACTTAAGACTTTTCTCTCTTTTAAAAACGAAATATTCTACTAGTTGTATTTAAATCACATGAAAAAGATCAATCCTCTACGATGTTATTATTGACTGATATTACATTTATTTTGGAAAACAAAGGTTCTCTATGAACTGTAATTCATAAGTTTTCATTAATAGGTAGGACCTGCACAGTTGATATTTCTTCATTTTAATCAGACAAAGATTGGCCAGCTCAACACTTGAAAACAATACCAATTTATCTATGGAAATGCTTTCTGTATGATATTAGATGTACAACTTTCATCAATTTTTTATTGATAGAGAAGTTCAAAAACCAGAACTAAAACGACACAGATTGTCCGCAACAAGTTTCTAAACTAATCGTCAGTGGATTATTTCACACAGCAATATTTACTCTCTGAAACTTGCTACACTCACCCCTGGTGATAATGAAGATGCCATTAAATTTATTTTGATTGTATAAAAAAGAGTAAATATCTAAAAAAAAGAAGCGTTCGAGAATTATCTGCTAAAACAATTTATCGTTCGATTAAAACAAAACATTTTTTTTTAAAAACAGGAATGAATAAAATTTAAAATATTCAAAAACAAACAAGGCCAGTCTATTTCACTTGAAATAAATCTGTTATCACCTATTCTTGTTGTATATATTTTATACGTCTGTGTGTATACACGATCTTTATTCGTATAGGAATGCATACAACTTGAACAAAATAGATATATATGTATATAGGAAGAACGAAAAAAAAAAGAAACGGAGACACCAATTGAAGATATAAAAAGAGATGAAAGAGGACGGAGGATGATGCACAACTGATCATCATGCATACATGCGACATCACTCTAACATAAAAAACAAACAAAAGACAGAATTCTATAAACATATTTTTCTTTTCTTTGCATCACAGTTAAACTGCCAATTGCACTAATTAACATTTAAAAAAAGCTTCGTTTCATAATGTATAACGATTTTGTTTATCTTTTTTCGTTCGTAGATTTTTTTTCGATGACGTTCTCGAACCATTCGTACAGCATACCAATGAGTTAAACCATGAACATGATTGAAATTTAGCTGACAATATTCTCCGTCCATTACTTATTCCATTCCGATATCGTTGCTCATGTAGAATATATGTTTCAATAGCTTGTTCGAATACATTTCGTATATTAAAATTAAGCATTGATGAACATTCCAAATAAGCTTTCGCTGAACAGATACGTGCTAAATATTCACCCTGAGACTGTGTTATAGGTCGTTGGTGTTTTTCAGTTAATTGTTCCAGTGTTGATGGATCATTACGTAAATCAAGTTTAGTTCCAACAAGAATAATCGGTACACGTGACGCATAACCTAAACATATTATTTTGTTTAATTACAAAAGCAAAACAAAAAAAACGGGGATCAATTTCTAAACGTACGATTCAACTCCGGTATCCATTTACTTAATATATTTGAATAGCTATCAGGATCGACAATGGAAAAACACAGAATAAACACATTTGTATTTGGATAAGCCATGATACGAAGTTGATCATATTCTTCCTTGAAAAATAAAAGATTTACAATAACTAATGTAACATCAATAATGGTACTATATATATTTTATTTTTTTAGAAAGTGTCATGAACGAACATTTCAAGTAAGCATCATAACACATAGAATACGACGAGGCAAGGAGAAAACGTATGTATTTCATCCGAATTCAGCATAGTACTCTCATCATACGTATTTCGAATAAGTATCAATTAATAAGCCATTGACTTTTATGAAACTATAGGTCTTGTTATGGCAATATGAGATAACTAATCAGATTGTTTTTTTTTTATTTGTACAACCCGCAGAAGTGCATTATTATTGAGTCACGTTATAAAATTAATGGTTTAGCTTAAATGTTCTAAGGTTATTTTTTTTAGAATAGAAATTCAACTCGTTTAAGACTCGATACAAAATTCTATAGCTAATAAAAAAACTGTTCGAAAGGAACACGAAATATAAATAGTACCATTATTCATGCTGAACTCGTTTAGACTATTTAAAATACCTGTCCAGCACTATCAAATAGATTGAGTATGTATTTTCGATTATTTAATGTCACTGTTGCTAGAATATTAAAAAAAAAACTTTATATTTCTTTCGTTTTGATTGTTTATTAACCTGCATAATTCTCGAATATTGTTGGCACATATGGATCTTGTGGATATTCCCCATCTTTATAAACAACACATAATGTTGTCTGTTAAAAAATGAAATATTTCAAGAAATAAATTATTTTATTGACTCTTTTTTTACTTTGCCCGTATAACCATCGCCTATGAAGAAGAAGAAGAAAAAAAATTACAGTAAAGTTTCATATTTCATGTCTCCTTGAATTCTAAAACTTACCAACAACAACAACTTTAATCTCTTCGGTTAACGATGCCGTCGTTGTTGATTTATAGTTATTCGACTTTACCTTTGACATGTACTAAAATAAAATATAAGAAAAGAAAGACATTGTACGTTGATTTATAGGACAAGATATCTCATGATTTAAATGCATCTCACACAAAATTATACATACATTCACCTGTTGATAAACATTGACGATGATGATTTAATGATATACATATAGTATAACGAAAAAAGAAATGGACAAAGCTTTTTCCCTTGTTCTGTTCTTCTCTGTTTTACTGATGATGACCTGAAGGGACGCGACGAGTGAACAAAATGATTCATTCAAATAGACGACGCGACGCGACGTGCATGCCATACATGAGTGTGTGTGCATATATATTTTTATATTTATAATATGAGTATGCAGTTAGACAACGAATTGGAATACAAAACTTGATAGAGGTCGTTTTGAACTCGAGAGATAAGATGATTTTACATGTGAACTAGTTTTTAAATGTGAACATCGCCTGATAATGATTATCTTATCAATGAGTTATTAAAAGGTTTTCAGAGAACTTAGTTAGAACAATTACTTTACTTACTTCTTGTATATGAATAATGACAATGATTGAATGTTGAAGGTGAAACTTTTTGTTGGTCGTTGAGTACTCGCACTCTCGTCTCAACGGAAAAAAAACGAAAGGGATAGAAAAATGGAGGGAACCTTTTTTCTTCTTGTTCGTATTCTTAGTCGTTATAAAAGATGAGATGTTCTTTTGATAGGCTTCTGTTCTTTTTTTTCTCTTTATTTTCTTATACTTTCTTTGTGTGAATGTGGAGGTGTTATTTAATAATCTACAACTAGCCACTCATTTTTTTCTCTTCATCGTCTCTTTAAATATACTATCATATCAGTCACATACCATATTCAATCTTTTCGCTTCACGCTCGCAAGTAGACGAATTAATTGACAAAGTTTACTGAGAGAAAAAAAATATGTATATGTATTCAGACTAGTTGAAATGTAATTATTTAGTGTTGTTGTTGTTGTTGTTTTTATTGCGCCTAATTCAACAATCAATTTTCAATACGCACTATTCGTATATCAAAGACAGATGTCAACTGATCGATAAAAAAAAAGAGAAAAAAAACGCAAGGACAAATAAAATCGATATTATAAAGCATATAGTTTCAATTTCTACAAATCATGCGTTGCATCATATATATATATATATATAATCAGCGAATGAAAATGTTCTTTGAAGTTCATAAAAAAAAAAAACTTCTCTTTTATGTTTGACAAACTATTGATAGATGGTTCATATAAATATTCAAGATGTCGAATAGAGTATGAAAGAAAAAAAACAGAATTTTTAAATGTCTTACATTTGTTAGAAAAAAAAGACGAAATGAAGAAGAACCTTGGGTAGCTATTGCCAAAAATGATTAAACAAATAATAACTTAAATCACAAGCAATACCAATGTAAATATATATATGGTTCTTTCTCGATATAGTGTAGAATGAATAGAGTGATTTTTAATAATCGAAACTCTACCATTCGACAGATAGAGGATGAAGAATAAAACGTGCTTTATGTACCGATCGATCTAATCTCAAGTAATAGGATCATTGGTATTTTGAATTGAATGACAACTATTCGTAGATTAAGTCAAAAATTTTAGTTACTTGTCAAAGAAAATAATTAACTAGTCGATAGAGACAAGAAAAAACATTGCATAATAATTTCCTCTTTGTAGTTTTCTTCGATTCTATCATACACAAAAACGAACGAAGAATTTTTCGAATAAAATATTATAACCTGTTTCTCGCCAATTGAATCTTCCATTGAGTTCAATTTTGATTCAAAATCATGTTGACTGTTCAATTCAAATGAATGATTTCTTTATAACCCAGTAATCCACTCGTGACTTGGGTCTTCTTTCGTTTTATATGATTTAATTTACATTGTTAATTGAAAATTTCTGAATTGTTAATGAATATCTACAATAGAAGTAAGTAGGATTAAACATGTCTGATTATAAAACCGATCGAATACGAATACTAATCAAGTTCATATCATCAATATTTCCTTTCTTTCTTTTTTTTTATAGACGTCAGACCTGTCAAACTGACTTCATTTTACCGCATAGCAACGTTTAATATTCTTGTTTTGAAATTAAAATATGTATACGTATTCCTTCTAGAAAACATCCATATAATTAATCTCTTAAGAGTAAAAATACAAAGAAAAGAAAACAAGGAATTCCCAAAATCTAGTCAACAAAAACAAAAGCGATAGACCCTTATTTATTTGCATGATAAGAAAAGAAGAAAAAAAACCAAACAAACAAATAAAAAGAAAGAAAGTACATAATAAATTTTCATGGAGTACATATAAATAGATGCAACAGATTTCCGACTCTCTCTTTTTTTAAAATGAAATATATAATAACATGAAAGGAAATATTTTCGTATTCTGATTAGTTTTGATAATTTTTATCCAAAGATCTTTGTTGCTGCTTTTGAAGAAAACCTAAATCAACGAAAAGTATTTCACCATTAGCAGCTATAATCATGGTTTGTTTGGTCATAGTCATTGCAGCTGCTTCACTGTCTAATTGAAATAATTCTGTAATAATATGTGAATTATCTTGTCCTATTTCAAGTACACGTGACCAATGTTTTTGCCATTGACCATTAAAATATTTTCCTGATGTCATTGTATCTAATATGTAACATTTATCATTATTTATTGCTTGTACTGAACATGGCCAACGAAGTCGTTCAGTTGATAGTAATTCGGCATCGATTATTTTTATTATATTACCAGAAATAGTATCACAAATATGTAATGAAAATGTATAAGCAATACCTAAATAGAAGAAATTTTGTTTCCGATTCTAAATTGAGAAAAAAAATCATATTTTCTTTCATACCTTGATTGTAATAAGGTTTACATGAATGTTCAATAATTATATATAAACGTTGTCCGTAAGCAGATATTAATTTCGGTCGAGCTAAATATATATATATTAAAAAAACAGTTCAATATATTTTCATTTTTTTGCAGCATTGTTCAATTGTTAATGACGTTTTGGTACATCTCTTAGTATTAGAATGGAGTTCAGAAAAATTCTGTGGAAAAACTTCTTGACTAATTTGTAGCACGAAAGAATAACGTATTGTCAGAGATACATACGAGTAATCTAATGAATCACTTAGATTATCATTCAAAACTTTTTGACTTAAAAAAATACCTTATCCTCCAATACACAAGTTAAATCAAATGAAAAAAAGCCTACATGGTTCGATAGACTTATTCATACTATTCTTAGTAATTAGTTATGCAAAAATAAGAGACTCCAAGGTTTTTAATATAGTAAAAAGAACAAAATCAACTTGGTAAACTTGCTACCGATAAAAATAAGAAGAAGAAAAAACAGACAAAAAAACTCAGCTAATATAAAGCATATCAATAGAATTGAAGTGAGATTTTCTAGATGTTCTCCATTGTACACTTTTATTTCAACTCAAGTGAATGTGCTGCTGCTTCTGAGTTAGCGAGTATTTGAAAGCATAACATCCATGATTATAATTACCTTCGTCGTATTGATCTGAATGGTTATAAATTCTCCATTGTGTAATAAATTCTAATTTATCGTCAAATTTAATAACACATGAATTTCGGTAATCGCATACATAAACATTGCCATCAATATTATCTGTATCGATACCTAACGGTAAAAATGTACCGGATTCTCCAGATGAATCAGTTTCTAGAAGAATAGAAAATAAATTATTGTAATGAAATGAAAAAATTGTTTCTTTTAATTACCTTTGACACAATCTAATGTTTTCCCCGTATCGATATCAATCATACTAACAATATCACCATGTGATACATAAGCTAAATTATTCGATTGATATTTTTTTGATATAGCTATGCCACGTATACTCGGTGTTAATTGTATTGTTTTCAATGGATCGCCATATTCATTAAATATAAATAGTTTATTACATATGCCCAGTAAAATCTTTTTGTTATTTTCTGTTATAGCAATTGCTTCAGGTTCTAGTGTTGATAAATGATCTATTTTAAAATATTTAAATGGTGTGAGATTTGTAACTGTTTGCTCGTTTTGACATGAGGGAGATGTCGTCATTCGTTGACTTGGCGATGACGTATGATTTTCACGTGGTTCAACACAACTATAGGTTATCTGTCCAATTGTATCAGCAGCTATAGCACGACGTCCTTCAGCAAATGTTAAAGCAACATGCGGTTCTTTTTGATGTTCAACAGCTTGTCGAATAGTTCGTATATTTGATTCGATTTGTTCAAGATTGTCCCATAGTTGTTGTTTATTATTACTTGCATTCGATTTCAAACGTTCTAATTCTGTTCCAACTGTATTTGTATCAGCAGCTAAATCAGCATAAATTTGTTGTTTACGATAATAATGCTCTGTGATATCATTATCAAGACGTGCTGCTATATTTTTAACTTCATTATGTATTGAAGATTCTTTACGATCGATTTGTTTACGTACATCATCATAATCATATTTTAAACGTCGTATTTGCTCTTCGATTTCACGTTCTAAACGTTTTTGATCAGACAATAAAATGTCCACGCGAGATGTGACAACAGTCGGCAATAATGATGATGGCGGTGATGATCTTGGCGATGAATAATTTTCTTCTTGACGATCATTATTTATATTGCGATCAATCGATGTTGTAGATTGACGATTTATTGATATGGAAGAATCGTTACCAAAGCGAGAAGAATTATTTCGTTGAACATTTGGTGAAATATCAGTATTAGAATTAGTACGTTCGTTTCTTAGTAATTTATACTAATTAAAAAAAAAGCCAAATAACGATTGAAATATGATAGGCAATTATTTCAATGATTAAATACAGGTTTTCATAAAAACTAGTGAGTCCATAGTGTATTACGGGGGTGTAGAAAAACGATATTAGTACGAGCTAGTTTTAGTGATCTCAAAGAAAATAAACATTCTGCAACGGAAAGTATATTCAAATTTAGTTAGTTCATCCCCATTTTACATTTCAAAAAAAGAATGAAAAAAAAATTATAAATGAATTTCAGTTTGTCACAAAGTAAACGTATCAACGCATTTAAACAGTCGAATGATCATTAGGACAGATTCAATCATTCATATTTGAATTTTCGTCATCACAAACCGGTAAAAAATTTTACTCTTTTGTTCTGTCGTAAAATTTTATTATCAGATAAATACGGTTAAAGAGGGAAAAGTTTATTTCACAAAATCCAAGTGTTCTCGTGACTTTTACATAGGATTCTCCACGAATGGATCTTTTAATTAGTAAAAAGATTAGCATTTATCGAGATTAATCAGGTCTCGATCGCTCGAGCTCGATAATATAAGAAGACACAAAGGTTGCGATCTAATCAATCTATAATTATGAAAAAGATTCAGCGAATTCTGATCTAAGCATAAGAATTATTCGGACAATTCTAGCGATCTCTTTCTCTCCGATCACATTAACTTTTGAGGAACTCGTAAATCGATATTACTTACTTGTGTTGTAGTCATTTGTTCATTAGCAGCGTCGTTAACAAACGAACGGGATGACATAACAGATGATGGCCGTTGTTTAACTACATCACTATTAGTGGTATCAAATGCTTCAAGATTTTGTGGAGGCGGCGGAAAAGGATCCAATGAATTTCTTGACAATGTACTCGCCGAAACTGTACGATTTGATACTTTATCATCTTGATGTTGATATGTAAATGCATCATTATATCTCTGTTGATTATTATTATTATTATTAGTTGTCGGTGAAATTGCTGATTGTTTAGACATTGTTTCACTAGTAAGACTATGAATACTATCAGTATTGCTGGCTTGACGAGTATGTTGTGATTTCGCATGTGTTGTATTCAAGTTTTGATGTAGACTTGTATGACTGTTAAGATTGATATCGTCGTCATCACCATTGTACATACGAGATGGTGTTGGTAAACGACTATTGAGTTGTGCATCTGAATTTGGAGTTTGTTGAAATGATGAACCTTTTTCAGGTGATTGTTGATGAATAGCCGTGAAAATATCGCGAAGATTATCAATAGTAGCCTGATGATCTGATGAAGCAGTGGACATTGGTTGTTCAGGTGAGTAAGGAGGATTATGATGATTAACAGTAGCAGTTTGTAATTGTTCAGGAAACGGTGGAGCAATTGGAGTTGTTCTAGAAAAATCAAAATTTCATACATCTCTCAATTTCAAAAGTAAACTAAAAGCCAATGACTCACCCTTGTGGAAGATTATCCCATGTTATTTCTTCATAAACTTCTTCATATGCATGCGATTGTTCTTTATCATTCCGTGGTGAAGGTGTTTGGTTTTGTTGTTGTTGATTTTGACTTTGATTGATTATTTGTTGGAAAATTTTTGTTAATTCATCATGTTTACCTGGTGATACAACATTTTCATTTTGTTGTGGTTTTAATGTTTTTGCTTCGGAATAAATTTTTATTAAATTTGAAACAACTGGCTGTGTATTTGATACATTAGATGCACGTCCTGATTGATTACCACTGCTTCCTATACCAGATGATTGATTAAATGCATTGACAATCGATGCTACACCAGGCAAATTTACATCATTAGTTGATTTGTCATGTTCATTATTTTCAATTGTAATCGATTTATTTCTATCTTGTTTCTGTGGTTGTTGTGGCAGCGGTGTTGACGATATATTTGATAGCGGTGCCGATGCAGAAATAATTGTTTGATAAGTAACTGGATTTTTAGGCATGGGCATGGATGGTATAGGACGGGCACCTATACGCCATTTCTGACTTAAGATAAGATTTGGTGGCAAGTCATGTAATTGTACTTCGTCAAATGGATGAGCCTTAATGAACATAGAAAAGAGTGATACCAACAGAAACTGATATCTCGATGGTTAAGATTTTCGAATGGATGAATGAAAAAAAACCACATCAACTTATTTCCATTTTGTTCTACTTTTATTTTAATAAATTTGTAACACTAGATGTGTTTGTTGTCTTTTACTTTTTCAAATATTCAAAGATAATTATTCATGTTCTTATCTTTCGTTTGACTACAAATGAAGGTTGTTATGCTGCTACTTTTCTTTTTTCTTATTCTATATAAACGCAATTTCTATTTAAAAAAATGTTCTTTAAGCACTTGATATATATATATATATATATATGTGTATGTGTGTATGCACTTACTTGATAGTGACATTTCGGGCATGTAATGCGGCTATTTTTTATTAATTTATCGCGAATACAATTAAAACAATATGTATGCGTACAAGGTAATACGCGTGGATCTTTATATTCACTATTGCATAATGGACAAGCATGGACAGTTTCTTTTTGTACTGGTGGCGGTGCAGCACTTCGAATGTTAAAACCACGTCCATCGCTAACGATACCGTTTGAACTTGTATTACTTGAAGAGCGACTTGAAACTGGTTTTGCTGATAGAACAACACCATTTCTAGGACGCGCTGTAGGCAGATTGGTTGCAACACGCGACATTGTATATGCTGTTTTTTTATATTGATTTAATGATAGGACATGACGTCTTAAAAATACAACAACGGATAAGTATACTATTTACTGTCCTCTAGTAAATATATATATATATATATATATATATACCTAAACTAGAGAATAGGAAAGGGAAAAAGAAAGGTATTTTGATCACTTATGGACGACATTAAAAAAAGAAAAAGTGAAAACGTTATGTTGTTTTGTGATAGATTTCTTTCCATGGAAAGCGTCGTCACTTCCTTCGATAACATACAGCAGCTTTTATTGAATAGACCTTGCACACACACACACACACAAAATGACAAGAATGAATATGAAAACTGTCGACAAAACATAACGTTTGTCGTTTCACACATCACAATTCTATCATTGTTAATATACAGATGTATTAAAAGAAGTACAGACAAATTTTTCTTTTCTCGTACCTTAAAAAATTACTATTATCGATGTTCTGTTCTGACTACTATCAAATATTTAAATCGATAATAATAATAAAAAAAAATTTACGATCAAGGACAAAATAGAATAGCCACAGACAAAAAAAAGAGATTACCATCTTGTTTATCAAACTACTTGAAGAAAGTGCTTCTCAAAGGTGAATATACATGTGAATGCATTTTGTGATGTTCATAAGGTTTAAGTGGTACTTACTCTTTTACTCGTGGTATTTTTCTAGCTACAAACGTTTACAGAAATAAAATTCCTCTTGAACAAATATTATTTTTTTCTAGTATGAACAAATAGAAAAACAAGGAGGACACCCAAGGATAAGAAAAATATTTGAAATCAACAAAAATTAGAATAGATTGATAGGAATAGAAAATGAAACGAGATCAAATGACTGAAACACGCGTTCAATTAGATAATTGAATGGGAGATATAACATTGACTAGTCCGCCCCCATGGATTAGCCTTAGCTTGCTAGTCGAACAACATAGAGAGTCATACTAATTGTCTCTCATTGTGTGACCGCAGTGTTAGCTGTAAGATTAAACCGACAAGAATAAGACTAATTTTTCTTCTTTCTCTCTTTCTATGCTCAATATGACCCGGTATTTGTTCTTATTTGTTCTCTATTTTTTTTCGAACTAATACATGTATAGATTTCTCTTTATCGGTAAGTAACATATACACGAGCCTAAAAGCAACAAAAAAACGTTCTCTTGTGTATTATTAGTACATTCATGCAAACAAAAGTATTGAGAAAAGACTACATCACGTTTTGGTTTTAAACTATTTTATCGTTTAACAGCCTCATTGTAATTTAATGAATGTGAGAAAATTATGCATCGGATATGTAATAAAATTTGTAAATAAATCTTCGTATTGATTTCTTTCGATCAATTGTATCGAATATAATACTTTCCTTTTCTTTTCTATTTTACAATGCACATTAAGTATTAATGCAATGAAAAAAAAAGAAGTGATTACTGAGAAAGGCATTGCAGCAATGCGAAGGTAACAAGTATATTGAAACGTGGCTTCTGAATGAAATTGCTACATGTTCATGTTGAATTAAGAATTAATGATTGTTCTGTTCTTTTCTTTCGAATAACAAAAAGAATGCGAAATAAGAACAATCTCTTTGACTGCAACTCAATGAACAAATTCTTCTTTAATAGGCAAAAATAAAATAGGATGCATTAATTTTATCATTATCGATGAATAGAAAGTCAAAGAAGTTTGTTTTGTTTAAACGGAACAAATAATGCAAATGTAAACTATAGAAATACAAGTCAATAAAGACTCGTATAATGATCATTTAGAAGGTTATTAATAGAAATATTTTTTAGATGTCTTAATGGGAAAGAAATCGAGTAATAGTCAAAAAACGAACATATCATTTACAAATAAATTAGCAACTTACAATGAGGTCATGATCTCATTCATTGATTCATATTTAACAAGTGTTTATAATATTTAAAAACATGACTCAAAGTAGCATAGAACTTCGAATAACATCTCTACTATTTCTTAAAATCAAAAAGACAAAAAAGAATTTAATTATCATGACAAAAACAACATACGATTAGACATAAAATCAATGAGGTGAAAGTAAACAGAAAGAATAAGTAATACTTATAATAACAAATAAGAATGCTTAACTTCATCAATCAGTTGTCTCAAGAAACAGAATGAAGAAAAAATTAATCGAAAGTTTTTGAATTTAAACAAGTTCCTCTGCCAATTAAATGAACACTGCTATGCAAGAGTATTTAGTTTAAAGAGTTGAAAATATTTTCCGTTTCAAAAAGAAAAAGAAACGAAATCAAAACACTTTCATAATTCTATTTGAAGCTGTGGTTATTTAATATGTTTATATTCATCGAAACATCTTAAATTTTCAAAGAGTTTTCTTCTCTACATAACAGTTAGGTTATAATACAAATGGAAGCTCAAAAAGTTGTCTACTGTGGAGAATAAGGTGTTCAAATTACAACGAAACGTTCCCAGCCAAAAATGGCCTCTTGGATGTTTAATTTAAAAATTTCTTGGTTCAACGAGAGATTACGATTGTGAGTTTTGTGAAATATTCTTTAAAAAAGTCCATTTTGCAATTTCAATTTTTCACGCGCATTCTTAATTTAATATTAGAACTATTCTCTTAGGTTCAATTCTATTAATCTTCAATAGATTTTTCTTTTTATGTTACCTTTTCAAATTCTTATACATAATAGTACAAATGCAACATCATCGTCACCAACTAGCCATAATATATCATTAGCAAATATTTTTGACAATACTTCTCAAAATCCGCAGCAAACGTCATTCAATCGCCATGCACGTATACCATCATTATTATCAAATATATTTCTTTGGTTATCTTTTTTATTCACTATTACTTTATTACAAATCTGTAAACATGAATTAAGTACAAATATTAAAATATTCTATGGTTTAATGATGTTATTAATTATAATTATTTGCTATATATTCATTTTATTGGAATCAAAAGGTTGTACAGAACAAATCTTACTTAAGAAATGTATGCAAGTTGATATGATTAAACGAGAACTAGGTTTACTACAAAAAAATTCGAAATTACAAACTTATCTGAGTGTAAAAGCAACAAATTATTATAGTACATTGAGAAGAAAATATATTGATTATCAAGTATGAAAATATTTTATAAAAAGAAAAGTCTAGTACAATTGATAAAGATCCGTCGGATCGGATTTATCAAAATTTTTATTGCATCTAAATTTATTGAAGAAGATTGTTTTCTGCTTGTTTTCGTTTTAGTTATATGATCGATCACGATGTATGCGTATACAATCATTTTTACATCAAAATATTCGTTTAATCGATAGTCCATGTAACATTCGTCAATATGATATAATTATTCCGGATTTCTCGATAGCTGAGAATCGCCTATGTCAAATTCTATTTAAATTTCATGTGACAATTATTGGTCGTGATGCTGATATTGTTTATGATGATATGATACAAGAATTTCAACGTCTTGAAAATAATTTACTAAATACATCTAGTACGCATCGAATTCATTTGCATTCAGCCAATAAATTAGCACGCTTACAACGATATATTTACTTTCAATTTCATGATAAACTACAACAAGATTTGTTATTTGGACAACGACGAACATGTCTTGTTTATGAAAATAAAATGAAACTATATGGTCGATGGTTTTTAAATGAAAATATTTTTTGGATAATGACATGTGTTGGTTTATCATGGTTGTTTCGTGCTCTATTTGCTTGCTTAGTAACAAAAATTATCATACCTATTCATATTGAATTAGAGGGTGCTATGCCTTTACAAACATTTATCATGAGTGATGAGAAAAATCTCATTAAAGAAAATTTATGAAATAATATTTTGTTTCATTCTTCAGTTTTTTTTTGTCAGTAGATGAAATTCTAGATTTACTATTTTAAGCTTATTACAAATTTTTGCACAGAGCACATTAGCATCAGTTTTCAAATCGACCTGGCGACAGATCTATATTTTTAATAAATTATTTCATAGTAAGATTCATATAGTTTTATTCATCAATTTATAAATAAACAAGTCATTGTAGAACAAAATACAATACAATCATAAAAATCACACCATAATTCTCTCTCTATAGTACATTGAACAGTACATAATTTGATCAAATATTTTTCTACACAAAAGTCATCAGTTAATTTGTGGAGATATTTATTTACATTGATGTTCATCATTATTAAACGCTATTTTATCCTTATTCCATCAATTAAATTCTGATTGGGTCATGTGGAAACCAATCCAATATCTAAGTTTGCTCTGACAGACGGACAAAGATATAAACATGAATAATCAATAAAAAAAAGAATACTGTATTCTATTCACGTCATCGTTTTTATAGTTATCATTCGACCGAATACTTTTTCAATATCATGTCGTTATTACTCACCATTTAAAAGTAAATTATTATGCATACGAGTGATAATATAACGATACCAATTGTACCAAGTTGTATGTATTCAATAAAATCTATCGATTAAAACTAACAACAAAATTTTATTTCTAGTTGTGGTGCAAGAAGAAGGTGCGCGAAAAGTACTTGTTTATTTAAATATCCCAGAACTTAAAGTTAAAAGAGCATTTCCAAATATTTTTAAATTCCTTCCATCAAATGGACAGGAAAAAGTGCTTGATTTTCAAAATCAGTAAGTGTTCTCAAACAAAAAATAAATAAATGTTCTAAAGAAAGTAATTCCTTAGATCGTTTACATTTACAATGAATGTTCAAACAAAATTATATTCAATTTCAATTGCACGATTACCAGGAGAAATTCAACCTGAACGTTGCTCAATTATGGTTTGACAAAAAAAAGACTTTAAAAACAAATACGAATCTTTCCTTATTTAGTATCAACGTGGTGGTTGTTGGATTACATTATATAAATTAGAATCAATGTCTTGGATGAATAGAATCTGCGATGATCTCGTTCCCGGATTGGATACTCAAGAAAGCTATAATCAGACTCCACAAGCATCAGCGCCTGCTGAAGAAGTACAATTAAAAGATACTGATATGCCACCACCATTCAATTCGGTTCCTCTAGCACCTCCTGTACCACCTCGATCATCATCATCAAAAAAGGCACCAGCACCACCGCCTCCAACTCATTAGATTGTTTGCTCAGATATACATCAGTATTTTGAACACAAACGAAATTATTTGTACATTTGTGAAACGACAGACACAAGACAAAATACTTTGTTTTTGATTTTGTGTTTAAAAAAACACTAATTATACATGGCTCTTTTTTTCTTAATGTAATTAGGCAGAATAAAAATAAATCATACGGAAATGAATATTAAAATCCTTATTATTATGGAATATTTTTATAAGACAATGTACTAATTAATGTTTGTATTTGTGCTTGATCAATCCGAATAGATAAATAAATATCAAGCATTAATTAGAAAGAAAATAGGTATCAGTAAACGGATACGATCTACATTTCCACTGAGGAGAATATTATTGTTCGATGAGTTAAGCGACTGACTTAAATGATGTCGCCTAACGATTGGATTCATATAGAAAATTGAATAATATTTCATAAACAGACAAAACATGGTATTATTATTACAAGAAATTTAATCTTTTTATGCTAAACCCAGTTCTTGACGCTGATTAATAAATCAATTTAAATCTAGCTGATTTATACACATAAACTAACCTATAGTTAATAGTTGTTTTCTAAGTTCATCAGTTGAATCTACTTCCAAAATGTAAATTTTTCTTACCGATCAGCTTAAAGAAATTGTAAAAAACCATACATATTTAATCAAACAAGAAAAAAGTCGACTTTACACTTGAGATAAAATCCTATAAGACCTAAATTATTTTCACCAATGAACGAAATCATATAAGTTTCCATGTACAATATTGTTCTTTTTTTGATTAAAATAGTATTAATTACTTTCAGTTGTAGTTGAGAATGAATGAATGAGAATAAGAATGGTAATGATAATAACTAGCTCATTGATTTCTCCTCGGCTATTTAGTCATTACGCATGCAGAAATTAGGATGTGGTTGTCTCTGATTATAATATGATAGATATACTTAAATTCTTGAATAATATATTTTTACGCATTGTACTTCTGCAATTTTCTTGAGAGTATGTTCATGAAAGATTCGAAGATTGATATTTTGACATGCAATTTTGCCTATCAAAAGCTCCCATGCTCAAAATATTTGATGTTCTCTGAAATATCATTTTTATTTTATTTATAGACCCTTACCGTCTCCGGTGTAGGGTGAGAAACATAATACAATGAACAAACACATAATTATATTAACAAACTGGTTAAAAAAAGGGAGACAAGGGAAGGGAAAAAAATAGTCTTTTGTCTTTGTACGACGAGAGCCACGTAGATCGCCATTAGCATTGAGCTGAGACATCCATCAGTCTATTACCCTCTGANATTGATCATGAGAAAGTTGAATCTTATCGTTTAATGGCTCAAAGGCGCTTTCCTAATAGTCGAATAGATTTTGATTTATCAAGATTTCGTCTCTGGCTTTAATTTCGTCTTCGTTAATTACAACAGATGGCCGTTCAAAGACAATTGTCATAAATAAATACTTATTTTTCCATTTGTCTCTTGTTATGTATTATAGACTCAAATATTTGTATTCAGTAATAAAACATTCGTGCTTGTAATGCAAATAATGTCAACACTAGATTCGGGTATTGCCTGCCCGGCTTCACTTCTAGATCTGTGCTGATTCTATGGTCGCTTGTTTCAGGTGCAGAACTTTATGCTCTAATGATTGGTATTGGCTTATGATGAGGTTGTTGACGAAAAAGATTGCTATCCATATATCTGTAGCGGCTTACTAATCACACTTACAGCATCTTTGTTTTCCTATCAATACGTCATTCATGCATCTATGAAAGGAAAATCGAATCATTTTTGTATCGCATATTTAGCGTGTTATTTTCGTTGTTATACGTATTTTACGGCTACGCCTCAGAGAGACGATCGGTTCGATTTTTCTAAATTCGAACCGAAATCTCTTAAATCAAATCGAACTGAAAAATTCTTTCTTCAAAACCAAACCGAACCGAACCAATCCTATTTCTGCTACGACCGTCGCTGAGCGAAATGGATAAACCGAAATAATTTTAGATCATAAACTAGTAAAGACTAATCTTTCTTAATTTTTAGGTCAAGTTCATTTTGAATAAAATACATAAAATCATCTTCTGAAGATTTGACTTTACCTTCAAATATTATAAAATCAATTTCAAAGAAATAAAGCTTTTCGCTATAAGAATAGATATTAACTTTGTCATCTTTCAATGAACCTATCGATATTATAGACGCATCGTTTCACAGGAATTCAGTGATATTCTCTAAAAGAGAAACTGAATCACGAAGACTAATATACGAGAAAAGCTAAGATGTCAGAACTAAAGTGTCGATCATCAACTTATATTTAATTAAAATTCATTGAATAGATAGTACAAAATTCCTTGCAAAAAAAATTTAGCACAATATCTCATCCATGAATCGTTTAAATCATATCAAATATATATTTAAACTCTAGATTTGATGGAAGATGGTTTCTATTGTATTGTTCTAAGTGCTCTTTAATTGAAAAACCATTTTTATGTCATGAATAAGAAAAATACGAATAACAGCAATCCTTCGGAAGGATACCTCAAAGTTTGTTCTAAGTTTTAGCTTTTGTTTTGATTTGTAGGCGGCTAAAAGAGTACGAGTGAGTTTTTTATTAATACTGTGCAGCACAACATTACTGTGGTCCGTCGTGGGTATTTTTTTTCTTCTTATTTACTAGACATAGTAAATGGTCATTTTGTATCACAATGATCTCAAAAACGAAAAGCGACAAAATTATCGTTGAAATGTCGATCGAAAATCTCGGGTTCAAGGATGTACTCCCTTTTTTTTATCGTATCTCTTGTACAAGGTCTGGTTGGTTCAAAAGCAAGCTCCATAATGCCAAATTGGACAAAAATGATCGTCAGAATACTTAAAGACGAAACATAAAATGTTCATTTGCCCCATTCGGGGGAGATGACCCGAGGTAAGAGTAGGTCTCCCACAAACCAATGTAAATACTATCTCGACAAGACTTTTCAAATTTAAAAACACAGATTGATAGAAAAATGTTTTCTCCACAATGTTTGTATCAGAATTTTTTTTATATCTTTGAATATAAAAAAAAGATATTCGTTCCGCAATCGCAAAGATCAATTTTTTGTGACCATTTACCTCTCTTGACTCTATGCTTCAACACTGAATAAGAATATCACTCAGGCTGACCTTAATTTATATCGAAGCAAAGAATGTTTGCCATTTAAGTTATTAATTAAATGTTTGATTACCTAAGTATAAGCATGCATAGACAATTAGTTTACTTCAATGACAGACGAAAATCAGAAACTTTAAAAGATTGAAGAGAATAGCATGAATTTCTCTGTAATCAACATTTGTTTATTTTTTCGATATACTGATCGTTTGGTTTCTCGAAATATTTGTTCTAACATCTTGAAGTCATAGCAAAAACTTGAAGAATTTAATACAGAATATTTCATATTTGTATAAATTTGTTTCTCAAGATTCCTGAGTTCACAGTTAAATCTTACTATATTCGGTCTACCGCAAAAAAAAACTATTGAAAGGACAAAATTGGTAGTTTAGATATTATGCCGAGAAAACTTTTTTACGAGAATTTCCCCATTTAAGGAAATTCTTTGCTTCTAAAGATCGGTAAAAGTTCCACTAATAAGCTAAACTCAATGTATTTAGAGTTATCACAAACAAAAATATATTCAAACATCTTCAGTAAATAAGATATAAATGATTGGGTAAGGCATATTGACTATGTAGTAATGGGAAGATAACCGAATCATTGGATTTTACTGTTAGAAGAAGAAAAATCATAAAATTTAACTTCAAAAGGTTAATCGTCATATTGATGAATTATCTTTCTTTTTCTTTTCTTTAGTTTTTGATAAAATTAATTTTCTCGAAAATCGAATGAAATCGTAATGTAATTTCGGTTCTCTTCGACGTTATGCATGCTGTCATTTTGACATCTTGAATAAACGTCTTTAAAAAAGATAGGTTATAAATACTAGATGCTCTGCAATTTGTTTTCAGCAATAATATTCTAATTATGGCTCTATAATAATGCTTCATATGATCTTTTCTTGCTTTCATCTGAACTCAAAGTACTTTGATGATACCAACAATAATGGCGCCGACATTAAAATATTTTACATATAAGAGTTGAGAAAACTTTCTCTCCATATGGTGTGAAAGAGAAATGTCTTGTCAGAATAAAATTTTGATAAGACCTGCTTTGTTCACTTGTGTCGCAGAAGTATTAAGATTGACTTAAAAAGAAAAAGTGTATCAGCAGTTTATGGAAAACTCCTGATAAAAATGAGAGTGAGTGAGAGAACTGCGATGTTCACTTTTGGAAACCAAAAATAAAGACGTATGGAATTGTACATTATAAGGTTTACGGATAGAGGTGTAAGCCGATGGGTGATCGGTGGCGGCGCCATTTTGTGAATTTTTTTAAAATTTCCTCGGCGGCGCCGATTCAAAATTCTGAGGCTAAATGGCGGCGGCGGCTTAAAGCTTAGAAAAAGTACTATAATAGTCTAAAGCTAAAACAGGTACACAGTTTTTGAGACTATATTCGGGCAGAGTACAGAGTTTGAGACCTAATACACAGTTTTTAATTCATCCAGAACACTTCTAAGCCAATGAAATATAAAAACAAATACTATCGAGAAACTTCCAGATAATTGAAGTGTCCAAATCCAGAGTATATTTTTAGACCTTTCAAAGAGCTCTTTGGTACGATCGAGCGGAAATAAATACGCAAATGATAAGTCTATATCTGTAAAGAGCACAGCATTCTAGTCCTAATTACTATTTTTTTCACTCAATCAGAATACTTTCAGAAAAGGCAAAAATGAACAAATACTTTGTTCAAAAACGTATTCGGAGATCGTTAAGCGATTGTTCCCACGTTCTCCACCACTTATATTGCTATAAATGGATGCAGGATTTTTAAGTTGAAAAAAATTAATATTAAGTTGGTCATTTTTCAATTTGATGTACCAAATTTTATACTAATCGTACTCATTATCGACTGACTAATTGAGCCTTTTGTATAAATAATCAAAACGAATCCAGACGCACAATGGTTTTCATATATTAGGTAGATTTATCTTGATAAAAAAGTTTTTATTTTTACAGTACAGATTTTTCATTTCGATTGCAAGGCGAGCCCAAAAATGAGCAAAATAAATATAATGATCTGTGTATTAATAAAACCCATCTACAAAATTTCTTAATATTGAAAAAGCACCACCAAAACTAATAGTAAATAAAACTTACCGAAGTTATTAATTCGTAGTAAAATCATTAAACTTTGAGTAGAAAATACAACTTCAATTGCTAATGAATAAAACAAAACCACGGAGGTTACTAATAGGTGAAACAAAATGATGCAAGTACTAAAAATACAGATAAAGTAAAGATAAATATAACCATCAAGAAAAATAATTAAGGAAACGTAAGTCTAATCACTAGGTTAAATAATGAATGAAAAACCACCATCACGATTGTTAATAACTAGAAGCACCTAGCATACGCAAGTTTATTGTATCATTTCGTTTTTGTTAATGGAAACTTCTAATACTAGTATCTGTTTATACATAAAAAAATAATAGACACAAACCATTCAGACCATTACGTAGAATTTTTAACTCATAAAATTAAGGAAAAAATGATTAAAAGGTTGTCCCTATTTATGAACGGTGTCGTCGGCGGCGGCTGAGCCGTACGGCTTACATCTCTATTTACGAATATATTTTGTATAAAGTTTTCAATAGATCTTTTCAGGAACAAGCCTGTTTGAAAAGTTGTTTAACAGTGAATTTGCAATTATCAAGTATGGACTCAAACTGTTAATCAAAGATCTATAAAGTATGGAAGGCTGAGACAAACGAATACATGTATTTTGATCGAGCATTTTATACGATTTCTTAGCAATTTCTGTGGAAAGAAAAACTCACTTTGGTACATTGTCTTTTTTCATTACAAAAGAAAACTTTGATAGTTCAAAAAATGCAATAAAATTAGTTTAGAAATCAATATTAGAACACCTACAAAATATAATTCAACGCATTTTCATCTCTTCTTTTCAATGGGTGAAAACCGCAACTCTCTATCTTGTTTCAATGAAGAGTTATTAAAAACAAAACATTCATTAGCATACATGTTACTGTGACACATACGAATAAAAGAGATCTTAATCGATATTTTTATTCTTACAGAAATTAGTTGAAATATGATCAAGTAGCATAGAAAAATAGAACATTGTTTTATCAACCCGCATAGAAAGAAAATGTTCCTCTTCTCATTTTGTAAGATATCGTAGCGTCAACATTATTACTTTTGGTATACTCCACGTAAATAATATTTGGTGATAATATTCATAAGCTCAATTCAAAGTATATGTCTTCACTTTGAACAGTCAGTGTATTGTCAAGATAAAAGAATTTGTTATAGAATGAATCATCTATATTTATATATAGTAATGTGATCAAAATCTGGCAAGCTCTTCCAAATATTAAGTTTTGATTCTGTCTATGGTAATTCCCACAAACATTGAAGAAAAAGAGTTCAAACAATGGAAAGTTGTCTTTTCGAAAAATTGGACTTATTGAATTCATTTACTCTGATGCTCGTTGATGAATTTTTAATCAACATTTATATTTCGAATATCTATTGATCTATTAAGGGGTTTGAATGTTATGACATCATATTGTGTATTCCCTAAGATGTTCCTTTGCTTCTATTGAAAAAGTTCATATGATATTAAGAAGACAAACAAAAAATCCTTGCACTGTTCTATTTTTCATATTCATAGTGTTTTTAATCGGTTCAATATATTTTATTAATCAATAAACAAAATTATTTCACAAAGATAAGAATCATTGATTGCGCGAAAATAAAAATATTTTAAAATAAGTTCATTGGAAAACGTATTCGATAAACAAAATATTACAGTTGCTGTAATTGTCATTGATCTACTACTTTCGTATATTTATTTATATTTAGTTGATTAAACATTAACCAATTAATATGATAACCGTTGCATTGACGAAATCAACCATTATAATAACTACTAACGTTTAATATAGAATTCGTATTGGACATGTTTGTTTCTTTCCTATGTAATACTATTCGTGTATGGAAATTTCTTTATTTAACTAATGCAGAGAACGCACATTGTATACAATAGAAAATAAACAATCTTTCATTGTAACATACGTTTATATTGTTTGTCTGTTTCAAAATAATAAATTTTTCATTAAAAGTTATTTACGAATACTATATTGATATAAAAGCTGTACATAACATTAAATATTTTCATTCACACGAATATTTTCCTATTATTTAGATTAATTTAACAACGTTTTTGACTATGTCTGAGGAAAATCGAATTAAATACGTCAAGGTGCCAATGGGAAGATCTCGTACCAGTAAAACAAACATTCGTTCCGATGGTTTTGCAACTTGTTTATTTTTTTTCTTACGCTTTGTATACGAAGAGCAAGAAAATTGTTATCTTCATCATTATAGTCATTCTATTGAGGAATCCAATATGGTATATACTGAATTACTTGAAACGTTTTTGACCATGATGCTAGAAAACTTGAAAAGACGCCTGCGTCTATCAACAATATTGCCAGAATCTGGTAAACCCCCAATATTACATGATTTTAAATTGATTATCGGTGGAGGCGATGCTAATGAAGCTTTATCAATTAAATATGCATTTTCATTTTTAAATTCCACGGATGAAAATAATTTCCTTGAATATTTTCAAAATAAAGAAATTGCATATTTATATACTCAATTAATGAACCGAACCGTTATATTAAAATCCATTTTTCTTTGTCTATCAGACGAAGAATTAGCTCATGGTAAGTTCTTTTTTTTTGAGTAATAAATATTGTTTACAAGCATATTATTTATAGAAAAAGCAACAGGCATCGCAGTAGACTTTCCCTCGTTATGGATAAAATATTGTTGTTTATCAAAAGAAGTTGCGATTGGTATTTATTGGTCGTCACCTTCTGCTCGATTTGATATGGCAAATATGATAATCAATTTAAATCTTGATTCACCAACACAATATTGCTGGAAACAAGAGGAAGCAAAAGTGAAAAAATTATTACAAGCAGCTAACAACAAGGAAAAAATAAAGCTTTTTCAAGCTTTATCATTTATTGATCAAGACCCATTATATTCATAGTAAGTAATTGCTTTTTTAGTCTATATACATGAACCGAAAAGTTCGCATCATATCTGCATCGATCAGTAACAAAACAGAAATTGTTTAGAAACAGAAAAATATTTTTTGTTTATTGATTACTTCAAAGAAAAATAAGTAAATAAATATTATCTCTATTTGTTTTTCTATTAGAAGTAATCTTGGACAACAAATATTTTCTGTTGTATTTCTTAATAAGGATTTAAACTTGGTTCGGTTTCTTTCTACTACGTTCTCTTTTCTAATAATAGCTACAGTCTTAATGGTATTTTTTAGTCCATATCACCCAATAAACCTTAAAATTGGTATCAATGGATTCGGTCGTGTTGGTCGAACTGTACTACTCCATGCGCTTCAACAAGGGATTCATGTCGTTGGTATTAATGGTTAGTCGTAGATGATTTTTTTTCATTTGTCTAATAACACATATACTTAAAAGATCCATTCATTTCTGTTGATTATATGGCTTATATGTTTGAATATGATTCAACACATGGATCTTTCAAAGGCAGAGTTTCAGTCAAAGATGGAAAACTTTTTGTTAATGGAATAGAAATCGATGTTTTTAGAAAGTAAAGATTCTACATTAACAAATTTGAATATTTCATTTATTTTCATTATTAGAAAAGATCCATCACAAGTTCCATGGGGTCAACTAGGTATGTTCTGTTTATACATTTTGAATCCCAGATATATTCTTTCAAATACCATTTGTTTCTTTGGTTAAGGTGCTGTATATGTCGTTGAATCATCAGGTGTATTTACAACAATTGATCAATGTCAAGTCCATTTAAATGCTGGCACTAAAAAGGTTATAATTGCAGCACCATCAAATGATGCTCCAATGTTTGTTATGGGAGTCAATGAAGAAAAATATACAGGGCAAGAAACGGTTGTTTCAAATGCATCTTGTACAACAAATTGTTTAGCACCACTTGTTAAAGTTGTTCATGAAACATTTGGCATTATAGAAGGTTTAGTGACAAAGATACATTCATATACTGATATACAAAAAACTTTTGATGGGCAATTGAATGAAGTATTGAATTGTACAAGAAAAAAAATTGCAGTTTTTTCATTTCTTTTTATCTCTATAGGTTCGGCGTTATGGACATGGAGCAGCACAAAATATAATTCCATCATCAACTTCTGCTCCTAAAACTGTATAGTTTTATGTTTTTAATATAAATAAGAGATTCTTATTTTTTGTTTCTGTCTAATAAGGTCGAAAAATTAATTCCTGATTTAAATGGAAAGTTAACAGGCATTGCTTTCCGTGTCCCAACACCCAATGTTTCAATGATTGATCTTACTGTTCGATTAAGCAAAGAAGTAAATTATGTTTGATTTTGATTTTATTGTATAGAAAAATAAATTTAATATTTAGGTTAAATATAAAGAAATCTGTGATGCAATTGAAAAAGCTGCTATTGGTCCTTTAAAAGGTATTTTGGCTTTTATAGATGACAATAATGTTTCAACAGATTTTATTGGTAACACACATTCTTCAAATTTTGATGCGCATGCCAGCATTTTACTGAAAAGCAATTTTGTGAAACTTGTTTCATGGTATAGTATAGTCTATTCAAGACTTTCTGGTATGAAATGCAATAATTTTATTTTAGGTATGACAATGTATATGGTTATTCACATCGTATCGTAGATCTTATCAGATACATGGCAAAGAAGGATCATGAACAATAAACTTGAACAATTCTTTATTTGCTAATAGACAAATATAAATAAATATTTTTTATGATTTATATTTAAAAATAAAAATAACTCATCCTAATTTATGTTTATAAGAAATATAAATCATAAGAAACTTAATTTATTTTAAATATAAATTATTTGCTTTTTGTAATTTATTAAATATAAATTAAATAAAATTATCATATTTCTCTATAATGCCTTAGGTAAGAAATACATCTTATTTTTGACACTATTCTCAGCTATAACTGATAAGGTACATATTATTTTCGTTAAGCAAGTAGTTTATACGGTACTAGAAGATCTTAGCAATTATTATAATAAGTTTCTTCAAAGAGAATTCAAAATAAATTTTACAGAATAGGATGAGAACCGATGCTAGAAACTTATGGGAGAGTATGAAACAGTTTTCTTCAGATAAATATTCATGCATCGAAAAGCAGTTATTCATTTATCGAATAAAGCTAGCTGTCGCTGAAGTAGTGATTGAATACTTATTAAAATACGTGGTACTTTTCGTACTAACTGCGTCAAAATCTTAAGTATCAGTACATCTTTTACAGTATAGATACATGCAAGTTTTACTTTAAAAGAATTATACTTTTTACTTGTACCTAAGTACCATATACTAGTATCCAGCTGTCTTCAGTATAGGCACTAAGTGCTTTCTAGTTTTTAGTTTTTCTTTTCGGTTTTGAGCTCTAGTTATTTTACATGTATTGGGCGTGCTTTAAAAATTCTAAAACAACTTTAAAGTCATAAAAGCAGCTGACTTAGACCTATTGTTAAACAATATCATAAGGTAACAGTCAAAATATAAGTCCTTTTGACTGATTATGTGTCATAGTGAGTCTGATATCGTACTAAGAGATGTAACAACATCAATGTTCACTAATATGTGTCAATACCATATTTTCATTGTTATACTTTTCATCATTTTACCTGTTTTTGCGAAATCATAGTCATTGTGTTACAGCCATTGAAAGTGCCCAATGTACGTTTTAAGTGTAAATTTATCACTAAGCTATTAGATTACAGATAACAGCATAGATTTTTTGTGAGGAGTGAAAGTTTATTATTTCTGTGAAGTGTCCAGCTGAACAATGTTACATTTTTCAAAGATAATCTATAAATCACAAGCCATTGCAAAGCCATAAATGAAATTTGGCAGTTGTTGGTCTCATTCATATACGGTATAAATACGAAAGAGTCTTCTGTTCACGTTTTCTCGTTGTCTTCTACTGGTAAAGAACAAGAAAAATAGATATAACTTTGGGCTTTCATGGAGGCTTCAAATATAGAGACAATGGCTTTGTAGTACATAGCTCAAAAACGTATTAAAATCATTTTGAGAAAGGTATTCGAAGTGGCAAAAATGCGACAAGCTCAAAAGTCGAGAAAATGTGCTGACGTACAGAGAAAACACTTTGTACTTATATCAGCCAAATCATAGCACTGAAGAAGAATTCTTTCTGTACAATGATGTTTGGTTCACATATTATTTCCTGAATATGCTGCTGCTAATTTTAAACTTTCCAGTAAATTATTGTCGAGACAGAGGAGGTAATTCTTTTAAGCAAACAGAATATTACTTCTTATTGTGGAATAGAAAAACCTTCGTCGTTTTACTTTGCAAAAGCACAGTATTTTCAAAACGATATTTGCTCTTAATACAAAATGTCAGTCTTCTGGTGACCCTTGAGCCAATAATTCGCATACTCTAATACTCTTTCTCAAGACATTCCGTAGCAGAAATAAAAAGTTCTCTGAAATAGCGTTTTGTTCGTATTTCTTTCATGTTTCAAGACTTATACACTCTTAGCTCATATTTTTCTGCAAACTTCACTCGGTTCCCATTCTTAGGTGCAAAAATTATAAGTGACATTTATACTAGAAACTCTTACTTGAATGAAAATCATGTATAATCGATGAACACTACGTGAATAAAATGTTAAAAATATGATATATTTCTTACCCAAGGTATTATGGAAAAAAATTATTATTTAATTTAATTTATATTTAATATATTGCAAAAAGTAAATAATAAAAAGTAAAGAATATACCGTTCTGTTGTATGCAAATTGGGTGTAGTCAAAAGACCAGAAAACATCGATGAGCTATTTTGGTTTTCTCTCACAACCTGCGTGATTCAAAGCACATCATCATTACCCTTTAGTCGTGACAATTTCAAATCGTAATTTACTGTTAATCAATATCTTCGATCACAACAATATTGAAAAATTTTCGTTTATTTACATAGCTTCATTTTTCGTCCTCAATCCTCAAGATTATAAGAGTTAGCAATACAATTTGTACTAGCGATATCTCTTTTGAATAAATTCAATTCTATGTGAAATATAAGATCAATATGGGTATAATCATACATTTAGCTGTTCTAACCTATTTCAGTAATAATTAATAGAATGGAATATCACAATTTAGAAGACGAGTGTGTTGATAAGCCATTGAGTCAATTTTTTTAAGAGGTCATCTTCTATATAGTATTGTCTGTTTCAATGCGACTTAACTATATTATTTGATTATCCAGGTAGCATATTAAGGTAACTAATGTCAGTAACGAATTCGAGTTCAGGAAGTACTCGAATTTGTTGCTAACATTAGTATCGATAGCTGTTGTTCACATTAAATTAATATATAAATTGATATTAAACTACATAAAATCAAAACCAAAAGACAAGAAAGCGACTATTGTTTACATAAATATATGTATCCTCTCTCTTCTATGTATATAGTGACCTTTGCTTACATAATGAATTCGATGGAGATGGATTGACGTTCAATGTTTTTTTCTTTTTCGTGATCAACGAAAAGAAATATTTTTTATCGGCTTCGTCTGACTCGAACAAGGCAAGAGAAAAGAATTTTTCTTTCTGTTACATATATTGGCGAGCAAAAATATCATCATTTGATTATAGTATAATACAACACTAATTCAAGACAAAAGTTGAAGGTTAGTTTCAAATGTTTCTTTTTCTTAGATTCTATATTGAGGAATCTAAAAAATTATGAATGCATAGAAAAAAAGATTAGATCTATCTGCATTTCAGCAGTCTTCATAACAGCAAAAGCATTATTATCCATATATCTCTTACTGATAGTTGTTCTTGCCTAGCTCTTATCGAAATCGCTTATAATATGATTAAAATATTGAAATTTGTTTGAATGTCTATAAAAAAAATAGAAGTCTTTTTTTTCAAATTGCAAATAAAAATACTCTTCCACATTTGAATGAATCTCCATTAATTACAAGAATGGCCTTTAATTGTAGAGAGAAATTTTTTATCATATTCTGTAACATAAGAGGACTAAGGAATTAAGGCTTTTTAGTTTTCTATTCTAATGTCAGTTCATTTCGTGCCATGATTTGGCGTAGAATAGAAAATCTTTGAGATATTTGAAATTTCGAAATGTGTTCCTTAAAATATCATTAAATTAAGTTAAATATTCTTCGGTTAATTTTTTCCGTTGCTAAGTATCTCAAATTCTTTATTCATTGGCATGTAACAATGTTTTGTAACTTATTAGCATCAAACAATGCGTAAATAACCAAAATACTTAGTATGTTAGAAAATACGATGGAATTTTTATATTTTAATAGTGTTGATTCCCAATGAGTTCAACAACATATATCAATAAACTTCTACTTTTAATAGGAAAACTTGCTCTTTGAATACGTTTACACA